TTACCCTGATGTGCATTATTAAGTAATCCATGAGAGCGCTTTTCTTCTTCGTGAGGTTGTCCTTGGTATCCATACTGTGATTCATTCCCATGACCAACGCATTCATCAGACCGCCTTCCCACAAGCCCCATAGCCATTTAGGTAGATAGCATAAAACTGCCTAATTAATAAAAAAAAAGATAAATTAATACATACAAAGCGTACAAGTGGGAGGAAGGCAATTTTACACGCTATATAAATAACATAACACTTTATATAATATTTTATTATATGCTATTATTTATTCAATTAATTAATTTATCGATCTTTTCTTAGGGCCTGATTGTTTCAACTTCTTGATAAATTTCACCCAACAGCATATCTTCGTTTCTTTCTTTAGAACTTATCTGAAAAGAGACGAAAATGTGCTACCTGTCGAATAAAAACTTAAAAGTTGAAAAAATCGACCCTTAATATTTGTTTTTCTACATACTGTAATTAATCTCTAAACCCGATTACAAAAATCTCATTACTATTCTGCCTTCATTTAAAAATGATTGACGAGTGATCGATTGACTTTTGACTTAATACTCTCAATTTAAACCATATAAATCTTAATTAACGAGTATTGCCGCTGCGATATCTCCCACGCGTAAGAGGTCTCCACGTGGGCAGCTAGATATAAAAAGATTAGCACGGATCAGCGAAAAGAGACAGGACACAAAGAGAGGCGGAATCTCAAAGGGAAAGAAGAGGGAGAGATTCTCGCTTTCTTGTCTGGCGCGCGCGACTCGACTCGCCGCGCGCACGTGTGGTAGATGGGCGATAAAGGGATCCGCTTACCTGGAAAAATAGCACGAAACAGACCCACTGGTAGTACGTGTAGTATTTCCTCGCGTCGACATCTCCGAAGTCGTTGGCTACTCCTGGATGGGCGACCTCCACGCCGACCTGCAGACACGCGATACATTAGTTGATAACGATGACACCATCTCGCGTAATGGAATCTCATTTGGCTCTTTCTCTTTTTCCTTGGATATTGATAAGGAAGGAAATTAGCCCTAATCTCTCTCTCTCTCTCTCTCTCTCTCTATATATATATATATATATATATATATATATATATATATATATATATATCGTTTCGTTAGAAGCTGGTGCGAATTTTTATCATGGCAATATTCTCGCGAAAATTATTTTTCATTAATTATTTCTTTATTGTTTTGGAAGGCTTCTGATGAATACATGTGCGGGAATACATGATATGGGTTTTGACGCAGTGTTAAATTGTATTTAAGGAATGCAGTCTTTCTGGAAATTCAAATATTTCGATAGAAATATCATTCGTGTTTGTTAATACTTTTCTCTTTAAGAATTATGAAATCTTGCAGGACATATTATTCTTGTGTCCCAAAAAAACAATTTGGGATTTCGTCTTATGAATGCATATATTCGAGGACCATTTATAACACTTTTATATATTGATATGCAAGGATTATGGGCAAGAATACAATCGCAAGAATGCTTCGGAAAACTTTTTTATGCTTATTCTAATGAAATGCAACTTTTACTCAATTTTACCCGAAGTAGCATATCTTTGGGCAAGTTGTTCCAATTCTTGATAAGTTTTATCCAACAGGTAGCATATCTTCGTCTCCTTTTTTAGAACTTATTTGAAAAGAAACGAAAATATGTTCTAAAAAAAAAGTTCTAAATAAGTTTCAAATAAGTTCTAAGAAAGGAGACAAAGATATGCTACCTGTCAGGTAAAACTCACCGAGAAGTTGGAAAAATCGGACCCAAGAAAACTATATTGCCAATATATAAAATTTCTCAAAAGAAATAACAAATGTATTTATTAAAGATTGCATTTATTGACTGTAACAGTTGGAGATTTTTTTGTAAAATTAACCGAGAGAAATTCGCGCGAACAATCAATATGTTAATTTTTACCCTCCTTCTTTTCCGGTTCTGAAAAGAGACAACCGCAAACTCACACATTTATAAATACACATAATAAAAAAATTTCCAAGTATAATTAGTGTGGTAAAATTATAAAAATTACAGTTAGATACTTTATTTTCTAATGTTTTTTTTGACAGAATTTTTTAAATGCATGCATTTCAAATAAACTTAGCTCTCGAATGGTTTTGGAGGTTTTCCATCAATTTCTCTATATTATTTTATCGCTTTATTCCAACCTTATCCAATTTTACCTTACAAAAATTATCTCCTATTCCATTCTTATCTTACAAAAATTATTTTGTTATCGTTAGTTGAGGTCATTTCTCAAATATTTCGAGAGAAAAATTCTAATTATATACGATACTTAATTTCAGTCACGAAAATCGAATGATTGACAGAACGTAAAATTACCGATAACAGCTTTCGGTGATTATTTATTGACACGTTGATTACAAATGTCATTTTTGTACGTTAAAAAAAAAAAAAAAAAAAAAATCACGAGTAAGTGATATATACATATAAGAAACGATATATCCATGTTTATCGCTTGCGGAAATCGAACGCCGGTTATATTATCCGACTGCTGAGACTTGTTATATCAAAACTGTAAACGTGACAAAGAAACCTGTATAAAAGGGGAAACGGTATCGCGTGTCAAAAAGCAGTATCGTATGCGAAGTAATATAATCGAGGTGCGAAGAAATTGTACGAACGTTTAAAACTGTATATTTTTAGACAGATTATTAGATAGATATTTTAATTTAAAAAATATCAGAACAATATGGCGATATTAAATCTGCTGCTATATAAAGATTAATCGCTCGTTCGAAGATTTAAAACTTGAATAAATTGTCGCTCGATAATATAATCAGCGCCTTTGATTTCCATATACGACAACTTTGATATACATTGTAGTTTCGCATATGTAGATTTTTTACGCGCAAATGGCGATGAATGATAATAGAGACTGTCTATTGAATCTGAAAAAAAAGGAGTTCCAAGTTCTCGAGATAAAAAAAGATAATTCGTGATAATTAAATCGAGTCACGGGATTTGATGTAATTACGTTCTTCTAAAACAATAATTAGGAATGCAGTTTTTACGTAATTTAAAATTTAATGTAAACTCTATACAGTTACGTAATCGGTAATTGGCTCGTAATCTTTTTTTTTTATCTATAGCAAATGTTTGCAGAGTAAAATGAACCGCGCGCGCTTAATCATAATGATTAAAAGATCCAAGTCAGACTACAATTACATCGGAATTTCTTTCTAGTTTATAATGTAATAAAAATAGAGAAGTAGCGTGCAACAGTTGGACCGTGGAGAAATACGGGTTCTGCCACAGTATAATATACAATATGCTGTTGTAATAACACTAATAAGCTTCAGCATCTGTGCGAAGTTTAACCCTTAATTAATGTAATAGTTAATGCAGAATAATAAATAATTAATGTAACCTCCGATTCTTCTTTAATTAATATACTGATGCTAAAGATCTTCGTTATTTCATCATTTTTCTTTTCTTGTTAATTTGTTATGAAAAATGTTCTTATAAAAAATAACAACATATTCGATTTAAGAGTATAATGTAAAATATTTAATTAAAAAATATAAAAAGAGTATTTCTCGAGTTTAGCTTTATGCAACTTGAACAGTTCCATTAGTGCAAGTTTTTTTTCAATGTTGTTTACCTTGACATATTAGGTTTGTTCTTTATTGCTGCACTGATGAACCAGTGCATACTAGTGCAATAAGTTAGAGTAAAACAATGGGTTTGTTTTTTATTGTTGCACTGATGAACTAGTGCACTCTGGTACAGTAAGTTGGAATGAAACAAAATATATTTGTCTCACTTCAACTTATTTCACCGGTTCACCAGTGCAGCAATAAAGAACAAATCCAAAATATACTTATCTTACATTGGGTTTGTTCTTTATTGCTGCACTGGTGAATTAGTGCAACAAGTTAAAATGAGATAAATATATTTTGTTTCACTCTAACTTACTGCACCAATGTACACTAGTTCATCAGTGCAGCAATAAAGAACAAACCCTTTAACTTATTGCACTAGTATGCACTAGTTCATCAATACAGCAATAAAGAACAAACCCATTGTAAATTGCATAATGCAGAGATCATTTTAACGAGACCAGCGTTTCCACCCATCCACTATTAACCGGAAAGTGACTAAATCCGTGTCAGTTTGAGAAAAATGACAAAGTCGAGAAGGGAGGGATCCAAATGATCAGAGGGAACAAAAAACACTGACCTGTCGATTGAACGCGTCCGGCATAGTAAAGGTGGACGTTATCCAGCAGTAAGTGTTGATCGCATGCTGGGGCAGACCCTGGACGATACAAGAGATCGGATTACCGACGTACTGGGTGGCCGTGACGAGGATCGAGCACGTGAACAACAGCACCGTGGTGAAGTGGTTGTGCATACGGAACACCAGAGAGTCCGTGATGATCTCCTGCCGTTTCAGGTAACGGCTCAATTCACCCAGCAGCTTATACATGATTACACGTTGGGTGTCGGACCACAGCAAAAATTTGGCCGATCTGCGAGGATCGCGACCGCGTGTTCCCTCAGTGTCCACCCACTACTACTTGGTAGTGCACCACCACCACCACCACTATCGAGCACCACGTGCGAATAAGTGGTCGGTCGGGTCTCCTTCCCGTTACTTCGACAAATTTCAGTCACGAGGCTCTCTTATTCGAGACAGACACGATTGTGTCCCTCCGTGCACGGATGTCCACGCGGTCTGTGCTTCCTCTACCCGGAGAGTTCCCTCCTTTTTTCTCCTCCGTCTTCCGTCTCGTCTTCGTTGCTCCCCCTCCCTTTGTCTTTCCGTCTCCCTCTCTCCGTAAACCCTCTGTATATCCCCGCCGGGGGTCTTTCTCTTCCCTTCTTGGGACGAGATCGCTCACCGAACCACGATCTGGACTTCTCCGACGAGTCCTCGACAAATGTGTAATGTGTGTTCCAGTTCCTCCGGTTCACGAGCTCGCGTGGATCATTTTAGCGAGCGATATCCCTTATATCTTTTTGTTCGATCGTTATAGATCGAAGAGAGAAAATTCCTTGCGTAGTTTGTGCTCACTCGGGCGAATCTCCTCGTACAATTATCTCAGGAATGTCTGTTAGCACATGTCCTGCCGGCTTTCGTAGATAAATTTCGTAAATAAGACGGCGATTTATCCTCGATCCTCTCTCTCTCAAACCGATCCCTCCCGATCGCGGAACGCGCGTTAAGGTAAACTAAGCTAAGGCCGACCGGGTTGTCGGTCGTAGACGCGTTCCCTTCTCGAGGACGTTAATTCCTCTCCCTCCCCTTCTTCCGTCCTCCCTCCCCCTCTTGTTCGTTCCCTTCGGAGACGACTCGGAGAGTCGTGTATATATATCGGGAGGAGAGCAAACGCAACGTGGCCGTCGCGTATCGAGGAAGCGACACTAACTACCAACTGTCAATCGTGCCGACCCCCCACTGTCTTCTCTCTCTCTCTCTCTTTATTCCACCATCCCCCTTCTCGACAAAGTCCCCCTCCTCACTTTCGTTTCCGTGCACGCGCAACGCGAAATAAAATTATGCAGCACTCGGTTTCTCTCTCTCCTCGCGGAAGAATAATCTTTTTTTTTTTCTCACAGAAAATGCCGTGAGACAACCGACGTGCATTCGTGCGTACGTAGCAATATCTTGAACGGCAACTGGAAGTCGCAGTTGTTTGTTGTGTCGTTGCGTGTGGAGAAGAGGAGAGGGATCTCGGCGAATGTACAAGGGAGACCAGAGCAGCCGACGCATATGTGGGGGAGACGGGCCCGAGAATGGGGAGCGCGCCTCTCGATTTCGCGCTATAGTGCGGCCCGCTCTATAGGAACTGTCAAACGCACGTGCGCGTGCGCGCTCGCGTCCATCTGACGTTACTACCGTTACCGTCACCGTCATCTTTTTACAGCGGCATTTCGGCTCGCCGATATAAAGGACGGACCCCGTCTTACGCCGGCCATTGGCGTCCGCAGTGAATCGGTACGAAAATTAAGGATTTCTTCTTTTAAGAAACACCGCGATTGATTTGCATACTTGATATTTAAAAAAAAATGAAAGTATAGAAGAAAGAAAATTTGAAAAGCTTATAAAACGGAAGAAAATAATGGAAAAGAAAAAAAATGTTATTGCGCCCCTTTCTGGAAAAATCCTGCGGACGCCCATGAGGCCGGCATATATACGTTATTTGGGATCGAATTGTCCTGAGTTTTCTCCCCTCGCGCGCGGATGTTCGAGGGGGAAGGAAGACGTGGGGAGATTTTGTGGTCCGGTCCTTTAATTCTTCCCGAGTGCATTTAGACATATAAACTGCTATGCTAAAGTTTCGTATATATAATGTATATAATATTACAAAATATGAAACATTTTAATTATCGCTGGAAGGGACGCGCAGATCTCGTTAAAAATATTTCTGTTTTTATTTTTTTTTTTTCTCACATACAACTTCCTGCCATACAAGAAAATGTCATTTAAATTCAAAAGATTAAAAAAAAAATATACATAATAATTTTTATATTAATTCAATTTATCTTCTTACATCTCGTTGTGTAAGATTTCATCAGCTTGTAACCGCTTCTAATCTCGACTGGAATCTCTCATCATTACAATCTCCGGTTACATAATTTAACATTGTATGGAATTAAATTATTTCAACCGATCGTGGCTTGCACAATCGATGGCATACCTTTTGTATTTGTCAACGACGCGTGAAAACGAAGATGATCGCCAGATAGGATGGAAGAGAAACTGTATAAAGAAATGTACGTTGTCATCGCATGGAATATTCAAGTTACTTAAACATACATTTTAGACTATTGAAATATACGCACTCGTCAATCGAGATGTTTATTTTGCTTTACCAGAAGTTGAGAAAATTTCCGACGTATATCTAGCGAGAAAATAGTAGTCTTTACCGTTTTTCGTGCAAAACTTTTTTAGAAGCTATTATTAAGAGATATGAATATTATTAATAATCTATGCAAACAATTTTATTCTTCTAATGTTAACAAATATTTTACATCATCTCTCTCGTACAGGAAATTGATATAAAAATATTCATTTAAAAATTATCAGCTCTTTGTTATTGCTGTGAATAAAGTAACGGAGTATGTGTTATATTTTATTGGAACGTTTGAAAGATTGGTGAAAGAGCGAATTGTTCGCGTAAGGCTTGAATATCACGATCTAAGCAGTTATATGATACAATCTGTTTACACAGAGACATAAGAATTTTGGCTCGAAGCAAATTTGCATTCTCGTTTTTATTTTCTCCGGCTTGATTTATAAGTCGCATTTTTTATTGTCCGTGACTAAAAGAAAAATCTTTCAGACATCCGCATAGGTTTCTGTTGGAAACCTATTATGCGAATGTCTGAAAGATTTTTTTTTTCAAGCCGGAGAAAATAAAAACGAGAATCGTAATTTTTCCAACAGAAACCTATGCGGATGTCTGAAAGATTTTTCTTTTAGTCTCGGACAATAAACCTAATAGTTTCCAACAGAAACCTATTATGCGAATGTCTGAAAGATTTTCTTTTTCAAGCCGGAGAAAATAAAAACGAGAATCGTAATTTTCGTAAATTATTTGTCATTAGCTGTCAGTGTTTTGTGTAGAAGAACAGAGAAAATATTTCGAACAAGATAAACAGATAAAGTACAAAAATTTTGGTAGAAAATGGGCTAACAAAAGCTCAAGCTAAAACGAAAATATATGTCAAATCAAATAAAGAAAATTTTGCGACGTTTATGATGCCTACTTTTTCTGCGCATGTGGATTTTATTGCCCAAAATTTCACATATCTGAATTTTTTTATATTTTTACTTATTCGAAAAATTTCCTTTCATTTTCAATACAACGAACAACGCGCGGACTATAATGACAAACAATTTACAAAGGTCTTATCCTGATGGTCTTTCAATTTGCAAATTTAACAAAATAAATAAAGAAGATTTTCTTATTGGCTTATTTTTTGTTTCCTAAATTTATATATCGTATTTATAATTAATACATTTCCGTTTTATTATAAAATAAAATAATTTTAAATACAATAACTATATTTTTTTTTAATAAAATTAATCTTGTTATTTAAAAGCCATTTTTTTAAATTAAAATGCTGATTTTTAATGATTCTCTTGTAATATATTTTAACTTGCCTCTTTGAAATTCTTTCTACATTCTTGCACATCAGTGGAGAAATATGATAAGTTCTTCAACAGGAAAATGTCGAAGGCTGCTTGTCCTTGTGATATTCTCCGTATTCTTCTCCTCTCAAGAAAATTAATACTTTAATCATACAAGGTAATTTTCCGTCGTACCCTTGAATTTTTGTTTTTACATCTGCGGCGCATCTTATGGCACTCGTTCATCCATATGTAACATTCGCAAATTAACAGTTCTCATTCTCGCCTTTTTTCGTTTTCTAAGTATCCAAATATAATAAAACTAAATGACGGATAACTTAAAAAATTTATTCAAAAATCTACTTGCTAAGTTGATCACATTTATCTTTCCTTTTTACTACAAGAATATCAATAAAAAATGAAAAACAAGTTAAAATCTAACCGGATTCATGATTTAATATACGCACGTATCATATAATTTATAAACATGATAATTAAGAGCTCTTCCGATTTTTATATCATCTACACGTGGGCGTTTTAATCATTTAGAGCACGAACTAGTTTCAGTGGACCACGTTTTAATAATAATAAAATTTTAATCGACCGCATTATCCCACGATCACCATAATTCGTCGGCGTCACGCTTCGACGATGAGTAACGCACGTCAGTTTACATTAAAAAAAAAAATTCAACACATATATGTGCGATACGCGCGTTTCGTCGATGACTCATTTGCGTAAACGCATGTCCGAAGTATGAGAATTACTACGGATTCGATTCCATTCATGCGAGTTTGCGGATGCCTGTTTGTGGACGTTCGTTAATAATCCTCACATCCGCGACCACTCCATGTTCACATCCGTTTTTCATCGTCTCCGTATTTGTGACGCGATCGGTGGACCAGATGGTCGAATAATGACGTAACGAGGAGCAACGTTGTACGCATCTTATGCAACTGTGAATACTCTGCGCGAGCTATTATTATTTACTACATCTTTATGTCATCTAATTTCATAAATTATCAATTTTTTTGCCGCACATTTTTTTGCCCTTCATGGAAAATTCATGACAAATATTTTTATTTCTTCGAAAAACAGGCACTGATTCATAATTATAATTAATTTAAATAGCTATGTAATTTATATTGATAATCAAACCAATATTTCCTGCATTAATTTGTCTATTCAGTAATTTTATCGAATATGGAATAATCGAAAAGATTCTTTAAACGTCATTATTTTAATTAATGTCTTTACACTATGCTGTCAGTGAATAATTTGTGACAAATCGAAAAAGCTTTCACTTTCTTTCTAAATTTTCATATAATTCGATTTAGAAGTCATTATTGAAATCACCAGCACGAACAATGTGATATGTTCATTTTCTCACGTCACTATTAAAAGCCTTATAAAAATTATAGCTCAACCGATTGATTCTCATCATGGCTATCACTCCTTATGTGTCAGTTGTTCCCGTTGACTGTATTATTGATCATCGCATTGTTCGTGGTGTATATATGTGCGCGTATCTACGCAAAAAGTATCGACAATAAGATACAAAGCCGTGATGATGAGTATAATTTGTATTGTTCCATCATAATGCGCGTTAAGAACACAATTTCAATTGACAAACTATGCATATGAATCAACGGTGTTGTGTTACATAATGTAATGTGATAAATTATTTTACGCATGGTCGTTACATTAATTTACAGGAAAATCAATTGTTAAAAAATGTGAGTTTTTTAAAATTGACATTTTAAATCGACTTTTAAAAATGATGTTTTTTTTTTAACAACAATTAATCTTTCAAAATAATATTTTCTTTAGCATCATAATAAATCAATTTTGATAACAGACATATTTAGCACTTGAAGAAACATTTCTCGTGCAAAATTCTAATTTAATTTATAATTTTCCATATTTTTCTGCAAACACGGAAATTATTTGATAATAAATATATGAACTTTTTAATCGCCGGCATTTTGCAAACAAATAAAAATATTACATTTCCTTTTTTGGGAGGTGGTTTAATTTCAGCGAACCTTTCACTTCCATTCCTTCTGTTTCTTTTCTTTTTAATTTTATTTCGGTGTTTCGATTGCTTGACCAAGCAATTTGATCGCGATCGCGTAATTCGTCTCGCACAAGTAGAACTGCGTATTTCGATCTCTCAAACGTGCAAAGCAAAGGCCATCGGACCGGTTTGTGTTGACGACGGAGTCGGTGAAATTGAGAACCGCTTGCGACTCAATCGCGCCAATTGTGACGAATACGTGCCAGCTGTAGCAACGTCTGTTCGCCCTTATAACGTTGGAAAAATAATGCCCCGGTCTGAGCATTCAAAGAGCGAAAACGTAAAAGGAAAGATATTTTCGTCGCTGCCCCTGATGTTATAGTCTTTCTCAGTTCGTTGTATTCATTCATCTCTCTCATTTCGACAGACTATAATTTACGACAATAATTTCTGCACAGAGGAAATTTTCTCTAAGAATTTATCCTGAAAATCATTGGTAGAATTTTATAAGTGTTTCTCTGATTAATATTTACCACAATAAAAAAATATTGTATTACAATAATATCTGCTGCAACAATAAAATATGTTCGACTAATTTTATTATGTGCATATTAATATTTTTTATTGCAGTAAATATTGATCAGAGAAATTCTAAGAAAAAATTCTCTCCGGCAAAAAGGGTTTCAAAAATGATTTAATATGTATCCAACAATAATAAAAATATAGAGACGTACTCAATTTTATACTTGACTCTAAATCTCTACGTTTCGAGGTATAGACATAGTCGACTGAGGATATTGCAAAATAAAGCATTACGTCCAAGTATCTAGAAGAAACATATACGAAGTGCCATACATCTGACGTCCTAGATAGATTAAGAGCAACCTGTTGCTCATCCATGGCAACGCTCAATGTGCATGCAGCATATAGTGAGAAAAAATGAGTCACGAGAGACTTAAAAATATTTACACTTTTTTATCTCTCCTAAATTCGACAATTTGAACTGTCTTCTTTGAATACTAACATTTCTAGATAATCGTGTATTTTTTGGAAATTTTAACATTCAAGTTGTCGTAATATTGAATGACGGACCTGTCAAAAAATATGATTTATGTATCTCATGTCCCTTTATTTATCCACATTTATATGAGATAAACGAAAGCATCGTCTAGAGTCTAGACATATACGACGCGCTGGAATGTGCAAGGTACGCATCATTCTGCGCGTTTGTACCTAACATTCGTCTAAAATTGAGATTTTATCTTCTCTACATCGTGATAATAATTTGCGTTGCTTATGGCATGCGAATCTCCTGCGTGCGTTGTTACGATGTATCGCGTGAATGCATCTGAATTTTCTCACGAAGATCCGGTGGATTGTATTAGTAATCGGCCTGACGAAAAACGAGTCGTACTTTGTATCGCATCCACGCGTTTGACATTCGACTTTCGCACGTCTTCAGCATAAATATATTTACTGCGGTTGTATACGCGAGGACTTACGTATGTATATAGCAAACCGCCCTCGTGTCATTAAAAATTGTACTAATGGTCGGTTAAAAATCGACTTTGAGATTTACGTAAAAATTATATTTATTTTTTATTTATTTTCTTTCATTTACGTTATATTTATATTTTATTTATTTTTATTTTTATCTACACTTATATCAGACATCTGGTCTTTTTGACACAACATTTTTGAATGATGAAAAAAATCAGCAAGAAGTAAAGCAATGATAGGTGTATATTTTAATTAACATTAAATATAAAAAATAATATTTTTTATTGGGAGAAATTAAAATTTTATATACAAGAAAAAATATAATTATCCCACGGAATATATAATGAATTATCGTGAAATTTTATATAGGTATACTGTTGAAAAGGCTAGTTCTACAAAATGTGTTTCATGTTAGACTAACGAACTAAATATCGTAACAGACTAGTTGCTGTATGTGATGCAGGATGCTGCAGAATGCAGCCGAGCGATATCCTAAAAAGGCACAGCTGCTTTTTTCGACCCTCTTCTCTTCCTGTCCCTCGCTCACATTTCTAATTCTTCTTTCCCTTTTCCAAGTATAATTAACGCCCGTCAAAGCTTGACTGACTGTTCGGAACATTCGAGTTGCCACAAAGATTTAAGTTACAACATGAATGGTGCACGTGTTTCGAGCTCAAACAAATACGACACCATAAAATCCACATTATTATACACAGAGAGTGACCGGAGAGCAAAAAATTGTTTGTCCCTCGAAAATGGGTACTTAAAATCGTACAATTGAAAAGACAAAAAAAATGAAATCGATAACACGAAATTATCTCTTTAACTTTCAAGTCAAGATATAATCGTCAAACTTTTTAAATTATATATTTTTAAATTATATTACATAGGAAATACAAAAAAAATACGGTCAGTATTCTTTGTGTAAAGAATTTTCGGACAATATCTTTAAGGACCGCGCGGATGCCTAACATCCGTACCTGAAGACCTATTTTTCGACTTTAGAGGAAACCTTTGAACAGCCCTACAGAAAAAATCTCTACTTTCAAAAAAAATAGGTACAATAGATACAATAAATCAGAAAAAAAGAATAGAAAAAAATTTCGTGTCGTTAAATTTATATCGTTGACAGTATTGAGTTTGCTTATTTCCATTCTCATTTGCAGTCACTTCAAAAACAGGTTCTAGACGATATAATAATCTATAAATCCTGATATGTAGAAAGGTGTCCATTGTTTCTGAAACGTTCGCCATAAATAAACAGTAAATATTGATATTGCGGCTTTTTATTCGAGATCGAACGCGAGAATAAGGAAAACAAGTAACCACGGTTGACAATTCGATCGACTTGACTACAGTCTAAAGTCCAAATATATACATCAATTATACAAGGTTTCCATTCTTGTTTCTGCTCTCGTCATTTCGCTTTCGTCATTTCTCGACCGAGAGGATATATAATGAACGGAATTCCGGCTGATGACGATTCGGGCTCGGAGACTCTCGGGTTTCTTCGAGATATGCATGTGCATTCGCACAGAGACAAAAGCTCCCTGTAACGGGAGCTAAGAATATCTCATTTTACCCTCTTTGGATAAAGATTTCGTACGCCATACTCATGTTCCCGGAATTTCATAAATGCGTAAAAGATATCTATTTTCGTACAAATATTTAATGATATATATTGATGTAGCATCTACGCACACATATACATACACACATATATAAATATCTATATTATAAAAAATTATTTGAATACAAAGAACTATCTTTAAAAAAAATTTTAATGATAAAGCTGTTTAGCTGCAAACGATTCTAGCGCGAAAATAATTTTTTGCATTAATCATTAAAAGCTAATATAAAATCAGAGGAGGGCACAGGAAGAGATAATTCGAGCAAACAGCTCCAGCAAATGCCATAAACCTCTATCGAACGCGATAGTAGGCCACGGTGCACAATTCCAATCAGAGAGAGAGAGGCCTTAACGACTTAACGATGCGAACTATTGTCGAGTCATTTATCGGGTCGGTATATAACGTACGAGACGTTATTGTGTACACATGTATGAACTAGAACTCGAACACATGTGTGCACAATGTTCAACACGATCGCACGCAACATACATGTATACAGGGTGTTTCTAAATTCAGAGATTTTAAGGGCGGTTCTAGATTCTAGATCTCAAAATAAAAAAAAGTTCCTATAAACATGGGTCCAAAAATGTTTTCCACCGAGTCTCCTAAAGTTGAGAAAAAAATTTTTAAATGTATTACAGCTCTCGGAGATTTTTTGACAGATTTTTGAAATTTTGCATAGCGTAATAAAAGTGAATACTTCATTTTTATGTGATACTAATTTTCATTTTTTAGACCCATGCTTTGTAAGAACTTTTTTTCTTATTTTGACCCCTAGAACAGGCTCCTAAAATCTCAGACATAGGTTTAGAAACACCCTGTATATATAGGCGCGTCCTCCGTACGAGATAGTTAAAAGATGATCGGTTATGCAGTTTATGTCATGCATGTGGCTCGCGCGCATTGTAAACGTGACGCACGCAAGACGCATTATCCCGCAGTTGCACGGTAAATCGTTCCAAAGTACACGTTTACGTACATAAAAAAGGACAATTTTTCGTTCGGCAGTGTTATAATGCACGCGCGAATGCACGCGATTACGTGCAATGTATATAGATAAATCTAGCTAACTTAATAGAGTTTGCATATAATTTACGCGAGATAAGCATTTTTTTACGAGTACCATTTTATGACGCGAGCTTTATGCGAAAATTATCGTGCAATATATTACATAATCGCATTTTTGGCATATTTGTGTAGCTGCTTATTAATTATATAAGCTATACTAATACATTGGCTTTCCATCAATATTTCTCCACATAGTAAATATGTCTTGAAGATACCCTATCGTTTATCTTTGTAACTTTTGTATCTTTTCGGGATATCTTTTGAATACATCCTGTGTAGATCAATATATAAATTCTCTAATTTTTAATTAATAAAAATATGTAATATGTAACTAATAAAAAAAAATTATTATATAGGTTGAATTCCTGACGGGAAAAAAAGTTAAAAGAGACAGTACGAATTATAAAATAATTTAACGTTTTAGCGTTTCGTATTGCGAGGCTTATAAACGAGTATTTAACTGTATATAGTCACAGTTTTCAATTTATGGAAGGCTTCTCTTCCCATTGCTTCTTCAGCAATTCGTCCTCCAATACGTCCGTAGGCAAGATGTTGTAACGCGCGTGACGTTTGTTCTCCAGATCCTCCGCCAATCTCTGAAGAAGTTCCTTGAATACGTAATTGTCCAAATTCTTCGCGATGTAATAGAGAAATAGCCAGTCGCCGAAGTAATACTCGTTAGTGACCTTCAGTACGTTCCACGGATTGTATTTTCCAGGACAGGCCATGGCAAATACCAATCTGTTGAATGCCGTGCTTCTGTAAGGAAAAAAAACTCGATGAAAGTCGCTCTGCAATGTGACGTCATTCGTATTAAGAGCACCCTTATCGCGGTGCACTATTCAAGTTAATTTCATCGTATCAATGTTAATTCGTATCCTTTCTTGTGTCATTTCTCATGCTATATTTAGATATGCATCAATCTTATAACGTAATCAATTTGTTGACTCTACCCGACTCGACTCAGAGTTATTAGATTTTGCTGAAAGATCCCCGGACCTTTGCAAACATTCCATTAGAATATAATATAATAGTATTATATAAATTGTTACGCGAGATATTACTGTAATACTAAACTGCTGTCGTTAAAATATGTTGCTAAGATTACATTATTATTTCAATAAATAAAATTGGGAATTGTATGATCTCTTTATGAATAAGATATAAAATATTCTACAACATATGAATAAAAAGTTAAGAAAATCATAATAAAATTATAAAATAGAGACGATCGCACTTGCAGAGAAACAACACGTGAGGTTGAAAAAAATTAAATAAAATTATTTTTAAGCTATGAATAATTTTTTATCACATCCGGTCCAAAAAGTTAAGAATCAGGATGTTGTTCACTTTGTACGGAAATTAACTCATATATTAATCAATAGTTGAACACAAACTGTTATTTATTGATCGATTTGTCTTGTCTAATTTTTAATTATTGATCAGATAATAACGTTCTGGAATTTTTACTAGACGTAAACTAATTTTATCATTTACTGATTCGTTTGAGGCTTAGTTTCTAATTATTTCTTTTTATTAGGAAATACTCTTTTAACGACACCAGTTATTAAAAAATAAAAATATATAACAAAACGAAAAGACTGTGATATATAAATAAAAAAATTTAGTTAGGAAATAGGCTAACAAAAGCTAAGTAAAAGCAGTCCTTTTGAATCATTTTCAGCAGATCAATTCATAAAAAATTACAAAGGAAATTCATAGAAATTTTTACTGAAAATATAGTCGAAGAATGAAGATCAAGACGCAATGAATCTTTTTGTAATTTTTTTGTCGATTTGAGAATCGATCTACTTTCAATGGTCCAAAGAACTGAACCGTTCAAGTAAAAAAAGATTTTAAAATAAATTTTCTGGTTATTGATTTTTTGATTAGTAGACAATTTCTAAATAGAATTTTATCTAAACCGAATTTTTTATTCGTACAGTAAATTAATTCGAAGAAGTAAAAATTAATTTAGAAATGACTCAAGTAATCGGGTTTTTTCTGAGATTTTTCTATTCGGCTAGTAAAGCCGTCGATTAGAGAATTCTCAGAGGCGAAATTAATGAACGAATATATTGTGGCGTAATTTTATAAGCCACGCTGACGACGTAAAAATATGCAAGGACAAAATTTAGCAACCTGGCGTGAAGGATCATGGTCAGCATTCTCCAAACCAATCCCAAACCGGTTATTACTGCCAACACGAGGAACCAGAACCAAAGAACCGTATAGATCTTCTCGTTAACGATGTTCAGTGCCATCACACATAGAGCATCGTGCTTTTGTATGGAACCAGAAGGACCATATTTACGAAAAATACATTTGGTTACCTAAAAAAAAGTAACATGATATATTCATGAATACATTTCATTCTCAATGATTTTAATAGTTGAAAGACATTAAAACGAGCATATAATCATATAATGATAAAAGTTGATGAAACTTTTTAAATTAATAAAATAATTCATTTGCATTTTATAAATATCGAGTTTTAAAGTCTTCCTAAAATTACGTATACAATATTTGATCAGAAATTATAATTTGAATATCTATTACTGTAGATTATTGCAAACATGATGGCTATAGATTCGAGGATAATCATTATACAGTATTTTTATTATTATTGTTATAAGATGTGTAAAATATAAAAGAGAGTCTACGTATATACAAATGAAATCGTACCTTGGGGAAAACTATGTCAAGTGGATCCACTTTATCTTTAGGCAGTGATTCGGAGATCGCCTGACCGAGGCCTAGGAAAGCTCCTTGAAGGAAAAAGTCGGTGAAGTAAATTTGCCCGATCACGTTTGCGAAATTCAGAATTTCGCACAAAGTCAGATAGTATGCCCATGGACGATTCAGGTGCAAGCGATTTATAAAACCAATGCGTATCTGCTGTATCTTCTCGTCGCGCTCGTTTCTCGAAGGTACCTTGAAATTATCGTTCACCTTAATCTCCGTTTCGCTCAATGATAAAGACGCCATGTGCAATCCCGAAACTAACGCACTTAGCCGATTACCTGAAATTCCAAACAATTGTAATATTCAATCTTGAAATACTATATGTAATATTTTGCTCGATTATTATCGATCGATTAATGTTGAAGTATTATTACAGGTGTGGCATTGTTGAATAATTTTGTAAATATAATACAATGTCACGCATTAAGTCGGGTACCGTATGCAAGTGTTCAACGATTAGATTACGACGCAAGAGAAGATTAATGATGATTAGCTCGCTGCTTGAGATAAACGATGGTTGTAAACGTCGACGTGCGATACGTCGACGGGTACGTGTATATATATGCATATTCGACCTTCCATTTTTCGCCACATATAATGCGGCACGTAGAAGAAAATCGCTTGGAAGAACAGGACAAAAGGCACCCATTGATAATAAGCGTGATGTATTATGGGGTCGTCCCTAGATTGTGGTCCAACGCCGAGATGTGGTATATCACCTTGCTGCACCGCGGTAGCATTAAAATGCTTCACCTGAAGAGCAAATTGATTGATGGCGAACAACGTTTATGTGCAAAGCAATTTTTATTCTTATAGACGCCATTATTTTCCAATTATTTCTCAAACGACAACTTAGTTTGAACTGTCCATCAAGTTCTATGCATATATACATATATATTGGACAATATGAATGTTTCATATTTCTTATAGGAAAATAGACATTCGTTTATTTGCATCGTCGTTTTTTAACTAATACACTCATACTTGTCAATTTAATATTTTATATTAAAAAAATAATTTTAATTTCATGACTCGTATATAAATATAATATTTAAATAAAAACTATTCCTCTAAATATCTTTATTTGACAAATAAATTACTATATTGAAAAGAAACTTCAGACTTACCACGGTGTACGTAGACGTGAAAAAGCAGAAGGTTTCGATGACGTTAGATGATACACCATTATCAGCGATGCATCTTTTTGAAACAATAAGAATTTATTTTAGAAACGGTTAATATTACGTACGTATAATTAATATATATAATTTAATAATTCCATGTGCAAAAATATACTTTATATGTTCTCCGATGAATTGTCTGGAAGTGACCAGAATCGACGCAACGAGAAGCAACACAAATGTAATTCTGTAGTGTAATCTGAAAACTAATCAGACACATTCTTTTCATTTGTCAAAAATTTAATACAAAGTATATAATTTTATACAAAATAGGCCCATTGCGTATAAAAGTGATAATAAAGTCACGCAGCGATAAACGCGACAACAAAATCCCCCCAACCATGCATCGTTAATTATACAGGGTGTCCCAATCTTATCGTACTATCCCTTTATAGGAAACTTCTAAGGTTATTTGGAGACGAGATTTGGATTTGTTCAATGTTCCTAACTTTTGAAATCATGTATACTTGTAACTAAGCCTTAAATTAAAATTCTATTAAAGTAAAATCATCTCCAAATCGCTTCAAAAATCTCTCATTGACGTGTGGTACAGTAAGTCTGAGACACCCTATATATTACAATTTAATTAGACAATGAAAAAAAAATCAGAACCGAGGAATCTATTACCGATATTGTCAATGGCTACCGCGTTCTGATTGACTTTGAATTTAACGTGGTCCTTAAGTACCGCGAAAGCAGCAAACACAGTGTTGGCAACCATTTTCCACGCTTCTTCTGCAAGTGAAATTAACGTTCCTTTTGTTTATGTCTCGAGTTAATCGCAGAGGCTGGACGCTTTATTACATCCCGCTAATAAGCGTCACTTTCGCGCCCGAACACTCGCTGCGACCGCCGAGAAATTCGGGATTTCCGGTCGCAATTTGTTAAGCACGCGAGCGACGCTTTATATTCCAAATCGAGTACCGATCGAGAACGTACTGAAAGTTCCAAAGCAATAAAATCTTCGTGGCCGTTATCAGAAAAGGCGATTACGTAGCCTGGACGCTCCACAAAAACTTAGTATTATCGAGAGCAGGCGGTTATTATTGTCAAGACGTCTTATTCGTCCAGATAAGAGACAGATATGAGGAATTAGATGACGACATAGTCACAAGTTGAGTCGCGGCGAATCAGAGTGAGAGAGAGAAGAGAATAATGAGTCTGTAATATACTGATTCACAGTTTTGACAACAATATTCTCGCAGAGAGTGTGGGTGATTCTCGCGTGAACGATGACCTATGTTACGATGACCTATGACTCGTATATTACGTTGTTGCAAGCAAATTCTTCACAGACACTCTTCCACCATTGCTGATAAGTAAACAATAGATTTCAATAGGAGGAAACTACTCGTCAAGAAATATTTCTCTCAAGAAACACAGCGCGTCTCTCCTCGTGCGCAATTAAACATTAATGAACACAATGTTAAAAAGATAACATAAATGTAGTGTGGCAAAAAAATAAGCACAAATCTCAACTCAAATTAGTTTACTTAAGTAACATTTATTCATTTTGAAAAATACGCACGACAAAGATTTCTTATATTCTTTATACATATATAATTTTATAAATGTTTATTTGTCAAGCTGCTTTTGCTTTGAAACTTATATTTTATGTGTATATAACGCTGTAAAAATAATTGTGTTATAAAAGCTTGATCTTTTCATGTCAATATCATTTTCATTGTATCTTTTCTTTTTTTGGCATCTTGATTACATAAACCGTAATTAAATTCCTGGCTTATTTATTTGGTGCACATATATAAAATATGTAGTTTTTAATCGAGACATAATAAAATATTTGTAGGCATTTTAAAAATTTTATTATGGATTTTAATCCATAATATTTTCTCTCTTGAAATTAAACTGCACTTTCACATTTTCAAGTTTCCAGAACGTTAAATGCTTACAAAGAGAGATATCAGATCAAGTCTAATCGTCATATATCATAAAGTATAAAACGATGACAACAGCATTGCATGAAACATTACGACTTTTATCAGAAATGCTTGGTATTATTTAGTCGTATTATCTTAATATCATATCTTTCTTGATAAAATATACACACATTATCTAGTTTACCTCATTTAAAGTACAATAAAATTCACAAAACATGTATATATAATTCTTTATATATATATATATATATATATATATATATATATATATATATATATAATAATTATTAATCAAAATAGGAAATGACATATATATAAATAAAAGAATATTATATAAAACGTAAAGCCATTCTATCCGCAAATTTAGATGGCATCGTGTGTTTACTTGGCCGCGTTTGCGCTATGAAAAGGCATTTGAACGCAAGATCCAATAAATTAGAAAGAGCTGTGCGATACAATGATTGCACGCAGTGTTGATTCCACGCGTGCCAGGCGTGTATTTATCCCGAAGGAAACGTTCATCTATGACGAATCGTCGCGTCGCGTACTAAAACGCGAGCGGACAGTAATCCGACGTTAACGACTAGATCAGAATAATAAAGCGCTATGGAGAACGGTCGCGTTACACGTTGCACGCGTAACACGACTGACAAACAGCATTTTCAGAACTGCACGGACGTGCGGGAACGTCTTCGCGATCGTCTTCGGACGGATACGCGAAGACTCTCAATGATAAAATGGAGAACTTAAAATTCCAAGAGCTAGGTGGGAATAATATTTATACTCGAAATAATTATATTTACCGTCGTTGTTTTTATTATAAACGAACGGAACGACGTATATAAATTTTATTTACGACTCTGTAATAATAATTGGGAAATTTTAGAAACAGATGGCGTCATATGATGACTTCGAGGATCTCTCGTATAGTGTTTGGAACAACTTGAGCAAATCTGCCATTGCGTAATAAATTAACATACCCAAGTATACAGTAATGGAATGATGATGTGAGTAGACGAAGAGAGAGAGACAGACAGGAATTATGGGCAGGAATAGTGGAATAAATTACTCTCAAACGACTTACATTCGCTGGATCAAATTAATACTTGACATATTTGATGATTTAATGGCTATTTGAAATATTAATTAACAGAATTTACCCTGAAAATCATGAGGCAATAGTGAAAGAATTTTAAAAGAATTTCTCTGATTAAAAATATTTACCATAATAAAAAAAAAATTATTAATATTGTATATACATATGTATAATAAAATTAATCGAACATATTTTATATCTTATTGAATCAGAGAACCTACGACGATATTCAGGATTAATTTAACTTTCAGAGAAATTGTAAGAGAAAATTCTCTCTGTAGAAGGAGAGATATCGGCATTCTTGTTCTTTTAATCTTAATCTATAATCTTGTACACGTTATAGTATAATGTGACGTAATTTAGATAAATCGCTTATCAATAGATTTAATTGGTGCAAAGTAACTGTAATCTCCGTCGAGGAAAATTAATTTTTTCCGCGAATAAAATTCTGATTGTTTCTCTTGCGAGTTTCCGAGCATCTTCGCTGATGAATGGTCCGTGTGTAACATTCTTACGTCATAGCGTAACATAGTCATCAATTAAAACTGAAATTGCATGATTACTTGCGTTAATTCTCACTGTACGTTATCTAGTTTCCCAGCGCATAACAAGCTCCAATTACAAATCCAGTTATTAACGAACGAATCATACGTTCGAACGATACGATACCTACTTACGACACGGCACGACACGACACGCGAGTATACAAAGGCAACCCGAGCTCGTACGTGCTCGTTGAACGCATTACATATATTCCTGCGCTTATGCAAGGTGTCAGTTGCTAATCCGAGGCTGGCTCATAGCCGCTCTCGGAAGCTAAGTTGGAATTTCTTTCGTTCCCAGACTCGCTCCGACAACGTTGCCATTGTCAAAGTAAATCTTGATTCATCGATCATTTCCAGAATACCAAATATTGGCTTTGAAATACAGGTATATCACAAAAAAGATTTAGGAGTCAACACGTTTTTGTCTTCACTGAAATATCGTTCATTCGAAAAAAATATTGTTATCAATTTTAGATTTTGATAAAACGCATCCGTGAAGTTCCTAGAGATAGATAAACGTCTTTATCATTTATATAAATTTTCATCGATCGGAATTCGTATCCGAGATTCTCGAATGAGATCTCAGGTAGTTAGTTCGTCATCGTCGTCGAGTTCTGACGAGAACTTCCTTTCCCTTTAAGGTCATCGCGTACAAGGAGTGCGGAGACCACGGGAGACCAAGACGATGCCGAGAGGGTGAGACCGCTACACCAGGCGAAGAGATGGCCGAGAAGAACGAGGAGAGGAGGCAAAAACTGGCGAACGTCGAAGGTGGGACTTTGACCGGCCATTGGCCTCGGCGAGTCGAGCCGCTGGCAGAGCGAACGAGTCCTCGAAAGAAAGGGTCCGTCCTCGCCTGTCCACGTTCAGCGCGAGGTCTTACGTTGTATATCGCACGTACACCTCGATCGGGGACCAGCCGGGGACCATCGTACCCTGGCTCGGCCGGTATTTCACCGATTCGAAATCCATCCAGGGACGGATTTATGCGGAAACCCGCTTAGAATTTAAGCCGTTGCATACATCATTTTATTTATTTTTTTTTACTCATTATTTTGTATCGGGTACATATATTTATCTTTTTATATTTCAGATCATTTTGTCCAATATACAGGGTGTCCGGTAACTAACGAACCAACGATCACAAATGGATTCTTTGGTCAATTTGGGAACGATTTTTCCTCAGCGAAAATGTCGAAAAAGGTCATCTTTTTTTACAGCTTTCCAATATTTGTCATTATGTATCTTTATAACTAAGCCTCAAATTAAAATTTTATATTATAGTAAACTCTACCTGAAATTAACTGAAGAATGTAATTATGTTAGACTTTTAACTCCAAAACGTTTAGTTTTCAGAAAACTCATTTTTTTCAATCGCTTATAACTCGAAAATTATTGACTTCTCAACATTTTTTGCTAAGGAAAAATCGTCTCCAAATTGGCCAGAGAATCCGCCCTTAATCATTGGTCCGTTAGTTACCGGACACCTTGTATATAATTTATAAAAAAATTTGATTTTTCGTTGACACGAAACCTCCGAAATCAAAAGCGCTATTCTTTTCAACACTTAAAGTTGAAACACATTACATTACATTGAAAAATATTTATTACTTGAACAATTTTTTTGTTTGGTGACTTAACAAGAAATCGTTGCAATGTCTGGCAGGAAAAATTTTCTTCGATAACAAATTTAAAACAAAAACTCAGGTAGAAAACAGACTAATAAAAGCCCGCGCAACATCTTTTTTGTTTGACTTTGTTTGAATGTTTCGGTCCTTTCAATTGATAAAATTACAAAAGAAATTCATACGTTCTCACATCGATTTATCTCGGTAAATCCATCGATTTCACTAATTAAGAGACGAGAATATCCTTAACAATTAGGTATTGACAATCGAGATGAAAATTGGAGAAAATCATGTAAAAAATCTTGATGGGAAAATGGGTAAAAAGTTGAATAAAAAAAGGACACTCAAAGCGAAAAGATAAACAGGCGAAAAACGTATAGGACCTCCCGAGGATGAAGACGCATGAATTTTCTTTGTAATTTTTGTCAATTTATTGTCAATTAATGAAAGGATGATCCAAAAAACCGAAACGTTCAAGTCAAAGCGATTTAAAGATAATAAATTTCTTGTGCCTGGTTTTTTTATATTGGTCCATTTTCTACCTGATTTTTTATTTAAAACCTTTTCGTTTTATTATATAATGAATAAAGAAAATTACATTTTTTTAGAAAAGGTGCAAAAATTTCTTTTTCACTCATTTACATTCCTATAATTATCACATAATTTATGCTACTGTTTCAATCGTAAACGATACAAAAGATTCTGATGCAGAATAAATTCATCTACATAGAAATATTTATATCCTTTTTTTTAAAGTTGTATTATTTTTAAGTTGTATATTTTGTATAGAAAAAATTAACTGACATATATATACGTTTTCAGAGATCATTAACTGATACATATATGTGTTTGTTGCAGAGATCTTCACATTGTGGAATGTATGACGACCGTTCCTATCGGCATTTAGCTGTAATTTGTGAGCAATTCACCGTCTTACGAGAATTCATTAGGTGAGGCTAAATGAATATTACTGGCGATGTATTTCCGCGTGTCTATGAACTTTTATATAAGATGCCTTTAGATAAAACAAAAATTATGTAATGAAAGAAATTATCTGTAATTGTAATTTAATTTGCATGGGTTAATTAAATTAACCCATGCAAATTTGATAATGGAATTTCTATTAAAAAGAGAAAAAATATATTAAATCTAATTTATCTAAAAAAAATAATTATCATGGAATTTTTATTAAAAAATACTAAGTTAATTTTTTTTCTCTTGGAGGAAGTAATTATAGTGATAAGACTTGCTTGTGTGTTATATCAGATATGACACAAATATTAGATAAATTCATGGAAAATGTTTAAAATTAGTTTCGCACAAACGCGAAATGAACCGTTAAGCAACAGAGTTTAACGAGTGCGCGCGTAAGTGGCAATTAGCGACAGCTAATTAAATAAAAGAAATAAAAATCAGGGAGAGAAGGTATAATATCGCTCTAATAAACCGCATATATATACATATACAGTGACGCTTAGAATCTCGCACCAAAATTCCTCGACGAGGAATCTGGCTTCGGGCTTCACGATGATAATTTTCCCCCTCCGGATAATGACGGGCAATTTCGTACGCGCGGGAGAATTTAGTCCGCTAATGCGGTTCAAGTGCAATAACGTTGTACCTGATGATGATCGCACAGGAGGGAGCGATTTGTGTACAATTGCTTGGACCTCGAACGCGCGCGATGCGGTCTCTCTTCTCGTCTCCGATTAGTTAATCGCGCTGACAAGAGCACATACGCACGTGCAGAAGTCCTCCTCTCGTTAATGAAATCGGCAGCTGCCTTAGTGTAGGTATATACATGTGTAGATGAAAGTCGCAAGGGTCGCCCGCGCTTTGCGCAGTTTACGCTCCGATTTTAGATCCCGACATCGATGTCGTTTCAGGGGAGAACTCGCTTATGATCATTTACGACCGCATCTCATCTGGATCTCCTATCGTTCGCATCCTAATTATTGTCCGTTATGTAGTTGCTCGCGTTTATCGCTCGATATTCTATTAATATCGAATGTAAGGAAACGTGATGATGATATATAAATGATTGCACGGATAATTAAAGAAAGACGCTTTGTCGTTTCCAGTTTTCTGAATTTTATTTATATAATTTTAGATTAGTGTGCAGATTTTGATTTACGGCTAATTGACTGAAACATTATTGTCGCGTTCGTGTCTGTTATACATACTTATACAATTTTAAAGATATAATTGAGATAAAAAATAAAATTAAAATGCAGATGTCACTAAATTAGTGCACGATTTTTTTAAACTTATTTCTACTTATCTCTATTTTAATCTTAAAATGTTAAATGCTTATAATAAATAATGAATTTTTCTTTACATTGTCTCAAATTAACAGTTAAAGTCATATTAGATTGTGACGTCAGAGATGAGAAAGCACACGCTGAAAATTTAAATGCCAAATGAAAAAAATATTTTGATGAAACACTATATTTCAGATGGCTTCAGCACACTTAATAATCCTAAATTTTTGAAAACAGAATCTGTTCTTACAATCAAAGATATGGAACAATTTTCTTTTAACTATATCTTTATAACTAAAAGAATATACATATACTCTCGCCTTCTGTAATGAAGTCATATAATAGATTTCATAAAACACCCACGTCGTTACTTACCATTGACCTAGCAAAAATCCGCGCATCTACCATGATTACGTAAATTATCAGAAAAAGCGGGAAAGAGGAGAAACGAGGTCACACTGAAAATGTCAAAGAACAAATGTCAAGATGATCGTTGCTTATAATCGTTGATGTTTATTAGTTTAACTTCACAAGAAAACATTTTCGTATTAAAATATATATATATATATATATATATATATATATATATATAACATTCATTCCTTTAGAAGGGCAGTGTGTTCTCTGGCCGCACATTATTTTGATCATTCGCACGCGGCTTTGAGGAGCGATGATATTGTATATAAGTAAAAGATACATACATATATGTATATAATAATTTTCTACGCAGCGATGTACATTGTCCTTCGTCCTTCGGGTATGTCGGGGTGGTGTCTCTCGTTCTCGTCCTTAATCACGTCATTCTTTCTTCTAATAATTTATATTATAATTTACGGCGATTTGCCTCCCAAGGAGGAGATAGTAATTTCGAAATCGGATTCTGATGCCACGCACGGAAAATGACGCACGTATCGTATGTTTTGATGCTGAATTTTGATGGCGTGAGCGCAATTTTTTTTCTCGTATTTGTATAGCATCGAAAATACAGAGAACTGACTGGAATTATACCCTTCAATCACGTACATACATATACACACAATTACACACGCACATACACATACAAATACGGACAAAAGACCCATGACATTATCGTTTAATGACACGTACAGCTACCATTTTCTTTAAGCCCTATCATCATATCGCAGATAGTATAGGTATTATCTCTTCTACTTTTAATTATTTTGTAATTATTTGATATTAACGAAGAAAAAATCCTAAAATATAAAGAAGGCAATGCGCCAATCTATCTTATATTGTGCGTTGCAAGTCGACACATTTGAAATATGTATATATATATATACTATAAGTTATTCATAATTATTTCCACATAGACACCCTCTCTCTCTCTCTCCTATATATTTATACTATGTAATATATATACTATTATATATATATATATTTATTTATTTTTCCTGTCTTATCACTGTGCAGTAGGCGCGAGAACATGTTTCTGTATGGACAAACCTTCTCCCTCTCTTTCAAATGGAATAAATGGAAATCGAGCAGAGGAATGCATGTATATTAATACAATGCAATATCGATGTGTCACATTGCACCTACTGCTGGAAGCGCCGTATATTGTAAAATTCATGAGCAAAAGGAAGCGAAGATTTAATTATCTAGTCGCGGTATAATAACAATTTATATTTCTCGAGTAGAAAATATCTCCCTCTTTTCTTGATTGTATGCAGTTTGAGATATACAAATTAATAAACATTATTTATTTCCATTTTAATTTAATTTTCAGTATCTTTTATCAAATTTTTGATGATGACGAAATGTTGGCAGCTTTACAAATTATACAATCTTTTTTCTATTTCTCCTTGTTAGAATTTAAAATTTCTGTTGAGAATTTTTAATCCTTTTCTGCAATATTTATAAATAAAGTTCATAGAAAACGGAAAATTATAATAGAAAAGTAAATTATTTCGCAAAAATGCGAGCTTTACTGTGTGGAATGATCAATTGATTATTAAGAGGAATGCATTTTATACTTAGCGTTAATTAGGCACTTATTATCAGCCATAACCCACATCACGTGCAATTTTTTTCTAGGAAATAAATTGAAGAAATGAAAAGTCAAGACAATCATTGCCACGAAAAAGCAACAAGAAGTAAAGCGAGGCGAAGAATATACGCTCATCACGAAAAGCAGAAAAAGGTAATAGTAATATTATGCAAAAAAAAGAGCGTTCTTCAACCGAAAAGTTAACAGGTCGAGTAAAGTGACGCAATAGATAATACCGGCATTTATAAATCGGCATTTACGTAATAATAACTCTACATCTCGTGTATCCCCATCTAAAAACGACATATTACAAACATTATTATGTCGCTTTTCCACGATGCTGACTGCGACTGTTTATACTCGTAGCATCAAGCAGTTGTCACGAGGATTAACAGTTTGTCAAAAATAAAATTAAATAAAATTACAATAATTAAAAAGTTAAATCACACACACATATGAAACCGGATAATGGCTTGTGTTGTCTATAATACGTCTAAAAGTGATACAAAATCACGGGGCGACGAGCAAAGTGTTTCAATTATCTGGCAGTCTTACTTTGAGCATAAGATCTCTCTCACGTGGAAATGTTTTAGATATGGCGGAGAAGCGAATTATACATGTATATAAAATTGAATAATCGAAAAAATATAATAATATTCTTATATTATTATATTATTCGATCACACAATATAATATACATATATATGTATATGTAATTATATATACATATATCTAAAATTAAATTATATATATATAAATCGCTTCGCGCGTTTTTTTTTCTTCCTCTCTTTAATAAATCCCTATTTATATAGCGCTACAACTATTCATTCGTATGCTCCATACACGTTCGTCGCGAAAGGCGTGTTTATACGCGTTCGAGCCAGGACACGTCACAATGTCATGAGAGAGAGATATGTCGGAGAATATCTGCATTCACGTATCGTGAAATTCACGCTGACACGCTAATATCAGATTAGACAGTTTTCACAAAACAGAAAATCTTCGAAATCCTTTTTTAAATTCATTCTAATCGTTTTTATATATATATAAATAAATCTTTATTAAATTTTTATTATAACTCTTTGATAAAAAGATATCGAGGAATTGTGATGTTTCATTTTCGCGCATACAATTTTGTATTTATACATAGGATTAAGATAAGATACGAAATATTGTATTGTCGAGGCCGCGATTGTATCCATATATAAATATACTCCATGTATATCATAGTGAATATAATCGCACGAGCTCTTATTGTTAGCATTGTACAATTTGAACACACTAGTACCGCATCGTAAATGTTTAGCCCTTTACAATCATCTGTTATCTCGTTATTGCTATCTTGATAAAACTTTGACAATCATCTTTAGCATGAAATCAGCGTTGACGTGTCTCTCCTACGTGGACTTCTTCGCGAAAGGTATCGCTGAAAACGGTATTACAAAACCTGATTTCGGCTTCTATCGAATAATACAAGCGAGTCAACGTACTCTGATCGGAATACGATATTAAGTATTCCAGACACATGCGTACACGTCAACGGGATTAAAAAAAAAACATTTCGCGTAAAGAAGAGCTATGTATAGAATATACGAACGATAAAAAAATAACGCTCCTCTCATTTATTTATTTCTTTACGTATCTAAACTATCACCTCAAACGTGATGTCGATGGACAAATGTAGTCCAACAATAATTCTTATCATTCGCGAAATTGTATTTAGATATAATAATTTCAATGTTTTTTTTTTTATTTTACACCTAGAGATATGTACGCGACAATGTTGGAACGTCGCAATATTACTAATATTTATTATAATTGCCGATTCTTATACGCTCTCATGTGATCGTTCTAGTCTTATATGTATCATGAAAGCAAAAATCGAGATGATAAATTTGAGGAATGCTCGTAACATAGCTATTCCAGCTTGGTCCCTCGATACATCACTTTTACATTGTAAATTTCTATCGTAAAAAATAATTGACGAAGAATATCGCATGTGTAATATTCTTAGTACAACACACTTGATCCCTCGATACATTAATCTTATGTATATATATATATTATGTTATATATATATTTAAAAAAAAAAAAAAAAAAAAAAAAAAAGACTGACGCAAGATAGAGCGCAACAATTGTAATCTAATTGCGACGTAGTTTCAGTTCCTCGCATAGAAAATTGTGCTTGCATGTCTTTTAGGGCATGGAATGATGAAATAAGAGGAAGACGGACGCGCGTTAATATCTATCTACACACATACATACATACACACAAAGCTCTCCCCTTTCTTCTCTTTGTTATTCCTTTGCGTTCTTTCTCATTCTCTCTCTCTCTCTCTCTCTCTCTCTCGCTCTCTAAGCTCATATCATGTACAATTGAAAATTTTTTGTTCTCTACTATGCCTACAATATACATACCTATTCCTACGATACACTTCTAAAATATATAAGAAAGATCAAACGGGGTATCGATTATGTAACTTTTCACTTAAGAAAAAGTTACATAATCGATAGCCAGTAGTAGTGAAGAAACCAAAAGTTAGGGTTTGCGGGAAACGGCGCGATTGATGAAAAAACATATATAGAATTATACCATAAATGAGAGAGATGTACAAAAAAGTTACGAGTTCGTATAATTGAATAAAGTCAAATAAATCTTTTACGATAAGTAACACACGCGAGCTCTTCACAAATACAAATAGATCTTTCTCTGCGGTTAAATAAATTAAATATATCAAGAACCATTCTACAGATATCTCTTTCTGTCCTTGAGATGTATTTTCAGGTTTCGTAAACCGAAAGAAATAAAGCACAAAATAAAGTGAGAAAAATAAAACAAAAATAAAGATAACACGCCGTTCCTCGCTTTATCACACGCTTTATCCAAGTCTCTAAACGAACGAAGGTTTCCGAGAGTGCCGGGAGGACCTCGCGCTCTTTTTAAGCTCTTTCACAGGTGCTTCTTCTCTCTCTCTCTCTCTCCATCTCTCTTTTTTTCTTCTCTCTCTTCTCGTTTTTATCGAAGGATTTTTTCTCACGATGTGGTGTAAAACTCAAATAAATACTCCGAGAGAAAGGAAACGCGGAACTCGATAAAACTCCCGCACGCGTTTCGCTCTCCTAGATTTTCTCGTGTAACTTTTTGCGAGGCAGGTCGTTCCATCGCGAACAAACGAACGAAGACGTATGTACGTACACGTTCGTGGCTTCGTAGGAATGCAAGCGCGGCAGAGGTTGGTGAAGCGCTTCGCGGAAGACCGGGATTTTTTATTCTCCGCTTGCACGCATATGTATATGTATACACGCCCGTAGGATGTTGTTCATGATGAGAGGCTTTATCCGCAAACTTTATTGCAGCTTTATGTACACTTTGCCGCAGAGAACACATACATGTTGAATAAAAACTCGCGCACGCGGGATGACAATCTGGCTCTCTTTTTTTCCGAATTAATTCGACGAAAGGAAACTAAAAGAATGAAGGAACTTTTTCTTAAGCTCTCAATTAGTGAAAATTATTATTAACTAAACTTGCCAGTCGATGTCATAAACGACCTGCCTCGTAAGCATATATATGCACGAAAAGAAACTTGTTTTACTAAAAGAAAAAAACATGACATTTCCACTCATCGCACGCGTATAGCGAAATACGCAAAATTGCGAAGATTAAAGCGGCAAACGTTAGATAAGAGTTCGATGGAAGAGTGAAAACTTGGTGCGAGAAAATCTAGGAGCGTGTAAACGAGATGTAAAAAAAATGTAGGAAGCGAATAGAAACGAGCGGAATAGGCGGATGTAAAATCGATGGGAAACTTGGCTGCCGCCTCGATGTGAAAGGATCCTCGAAGACGAGGAGAGAGAGACTTCGACGCGAAGCCGAAGAAGAAAGAAGGCGGCGAATCAGCACGCTTTGTCTCGACCGTAAACCTAACACCGTCGAGTGCAAGCATGTAAAATGCACTCGCGCGAAAGAGAGAGACGCGGCGAGACGCAAAGGTCTTGGTTCATAAGAGAGAAGAAAAAAAAGAACCCACCTACCGAGGCCCAATTGCACCGACGTGTGTAAAATGTTACATTGTTCTTCTCCGTCTCTCTCTTTGTCTCTCGTTTCGGAGTAAGAATTGAAAATTCGCACAGGCAAAGAAAGCCGAACTTAAACTACGTTAATAATAAAATTAATGATGAATTATCTAGCTACAATTAAGAGAAAGTAAACTTTTTATTATTCCCGATTAACCACGATTGACTAAATCTCACTTCTTTACCGACGTATGAATTCTAAAGCGCAGGGGGAGGTTTATATAAATTATTAATCCGATAATTAACGTAAATCGAATTATGATTCAGGATATATCCTTGAATATAATTCGAGAATCTAAGAATTAATTAAGGTAAAACTAAAATGTCCGATTAGCTCGAGATCTTCCCCTCTCTCTCTCTCTCTCTTTCTCTCTTTTTTATCCATATTATATGTATAAAATGTACTATAGAAAAAAAGATGGCGAATTATATTAATCCGAAGTACGATGGACCAAACCGGCGGTGCAATTCGGCCTAAGAGATGGTAAATTCTTGGAAAATCCTCGTCTTTCTAGCATCCTAGCGATAATCGGTAATTCGAGCTCCTTCCTTTATTTCACTCCTGGTCCCTAAATCTGGAGACTGGTCCTACCGTTCGCTGTAACTGCTCTCTCACGAGCAAGTCAGTCATTTTGCTCTGGCAGAGTAAAGGGATCCTTCGGAGGACTTCTCCCCGAAGAAGTCCTTTTCCCGAGCCGGCACGATCCGATCGTGCGATTAAACGTTCTCCTTTCCCTGAAGTTTGATTGCTAGGTCGGCGATGAGCTGCTTGTAGACAAGCGGGTCGATGTTCTTGCCAAGCTGGTAGAGGACGAACCAGTCACCTATCTGGCACTTGTCGCTGATGGACTTGATCTGATCCTGGGGCGAGAGACGTGAACGAGCTCGCAAGAGCACCATCCGGAGCGCAGAGGCGAATATAACCGCGATACGATAGAGGAGGCTGAGACCGCTCAGGATTGACAGGATGATGAACCAGAACCAGAGGAACACGTAGATCTTCTCGTTGACGATGTTGAGTGGCAGCACGCAGAGACCGTCGAACTTCTGCACCGTACCGGACGCACCATATTTGTGGAATGTGCACTTGGTCACCTTCGGGAAGACCCGGGACATGGGGTCTATACGCTCCTCGGGCTCCATCTCGGTGAATCTGATGACGTCGGAGCCATAAGTGGTGAACTCGCCGTCCAGGAAGAAGTCTATGAAGAAGATCTGGCCGAGGACGTTGATGAAGTTCAAGAGCTCGCATAGGAAAAAGCGGTAAGCGTAGAAATTCTGCGAGTGTAGGTTCGTAGTAAAGTAGTCGACCAGGAGTTTACGCCGGTCGCTTTTGCAGTCCTCGCTCACCACCGGACAGTTGAGGTCCAGCACCAGCATCTTGACTCTACCGCCCTCCCATGTCTTCCACAGGTAACGCGGAATGTAGAAGAGGATCGCTTGGAAGAAGAGGGTGAAGCAGACCCACTGGTAGTACTTGTGGTACTTGATCTCGTCCTCGCCTTCGATGTGAGCAGCCACCCCGGGTTGCACCATGTCCTTACCGACGATGCCGGTTCGTTCCGGGATCGTGAAGGTCGAATAGATCCAGCAGTAGGTGTCCATCACGTGAAGTGGAATCTCATCGACGATGCAGTCGATCGGATCGCCGATGTATTGCCGGGACGTCACCAGAAGGGAGAAGATGATCAGGAGGATCACCGTGGCCTTGTAATGCAGCCGGAACACATTGTTGTCGATGCACACCGAGTCGAGCTTCAGCAACCCCTTCACGGAACCGAACACGTCAAACATGATGGCGGCCTGTAGTCTTACCCTCTTCCTGAAATTCTTATTTATCTACCACAGAAGCTCACGCACACGCGCGTATAAATCGTTTCTCCTTCGAGGATTGCAAACCGATGTGCGCTCTGGTCACAAACCGAATTCGTATTGTACAGGTCCTCCGTGAAGCGCTGCTTCCACGGACGTCGTGCGCGTTCGGCAGCTTCCGCGCTTCCTCGTTTCGCGTAACACCGGACTCTCAACCAACCCCTCGCGGCGGCGTCGTTAATTTCCCTCGGACTCGCACACGTGCGCTCCGGTACGTATACACCCGTATTGTATTCACGCGTTCGACAACAACGGGCCACGCGTTCGCGACACTACGCACGACGTTACCGAGCGTCACCGAGAGCGGTTCTGCCGTAATGGCTGCGTTTGAGACGCGACACCACAAGCACGCGAGGACACGCCACGAGCTGCTCCCTTTTCCCTGTGTGTCTCTCTCTCTCTCTCGCCCTTTCTAACTCTCCCTCTCTGATCACGCTCTTGTCTGTGTCTCGCTCGCACGTTCGCGTCCTTTCTCTCTCCTTCTCGTCTTCTGGCTTACACGCAGGCCGGTCGGGGACCAAGAACTGTTCTCGGTTGCTTCTGCGGCGCGGCAGGGAAACTCCGTCCCCACCTACACAATAGCGAACTGCTCTCCCGCGACCTCCCTCCACGTCCGTCCTCGTCTCTCCCTTTCGTGGAATGATTCCCCGTCGACGCGCTCTCGCTCCTTCGGTGACGCTCGGCCGTTCTCGGCTCGGGCCCCGTTCGGGGAACTCCGGCGCCGCTCGGCCACCGTCGTCGCTCGGCCACCGTCGTCGCTTCGCTTCGCCTCGCCACGGCGGCGTGCTCTTCGCATGGTTGTTACCATGGCGACTGTGGCTACTGAGGCTGCGGGAGCGTGGGATTCTTTCCGAGCGCTTTGCTTCGTTCGCCTTCGCTCGATTAGCGCTAATCGCGATTAAAATGTTTTCTATGTCTTTATTCTAGGGATAGAGAACTCTGTAATTTGTAGATTACTTCCCTCTCTGATCCCGGAATTTATTTATTTTACACGGATACAATGGAGAAAGGATGATTGCATCATCGTGTCGATGAATAATCATGAATGTGTATTTGTGTTAATTATATATATAATATTATATAGATTAATATATTAATAATCTTTCTTATTTGTTTTACATATATTACAATCTTGAAAAATATAAAAACTACGTTTATTAAAGTATCTAAAAGTTAACTACGTAGTTCCAAAATATTAAAAGTTAAATGTATATTTTTTAATATTTAAAATTTAACTAAAATAATGTAAATCAAGAGAGAATTTCAACCTATTTTTAAATTTATGTTACAAATGAAATCATAGAGAAGGATAAGAAACAAACAGAACAAAGTCTATCGTATTATCATATCCTGTTACGCGATAAAGCGTAATAAGTTGTTTTAACATCCTTCTGTGGGTCAGTAGCATACGTTTGTTACGTCCTGATATCTGACGTAATCCATGAATGAAAATTGGCTAGAGAAGAATTATGTTGCTTTTTATTTTCATAACGCAATGTTGCATCTACTCGGTAATGATATATTTCGCCAAATGCTAATTCGCTATAAAAGTCTCTTTCTTCACCGTTTAACATTTATTTCGAAAGATACACGCGAATCTTACAACACACATACACACACACACACATGTATAAAATATATGTAGTTATAGCTACAACTGTAGCAAGTTTAGGAATTCGAAGAATCTGTTGATCCTTTAGGTTTTTGTTCCTTTTCCGTTTCTTTTCGATACAAAGAAATAGTTTTCCTTTATTCTCAGAACAGGACGAGAGAACCAGAGACAGTTTATACCTCAAAAATTATATATATTATATATATTAGATTTTATACAGGTATTAGAATATGTCTGAATATGATATTCAACTGTCGCTTAAATTATTATATCAAATTAATAATTAACGTTGATATATTGTTCACGAAAGTTCCACAATATTCATGGAAAGAAAAAATCTTTGCGCGCAAATATTTTATAGGGTATCATTGTAGCCAAAATATTCTTGACTAATTTGTAAATGCAATAGTTTTTGGTTCATCAGCGATTAATTGATTAATAAATGTTTGAGCATAATATTTAAAATAATATGCAATAAGGAAACTTACATTTATATAATATAAATTGTTACGTAATTGTTACGTTAATTATGCATAAATTACTAATTTTTATTCATCCTGTGCACCGAATCGTATAAATCATTCACGATCATTAGAAGCGCGTGCTCTAAATATAGAGCTACTGGTTGTAAAGAAGTATCTGTTTCTTCGCTGATTAATTATTCTCGCTAAATCTATATATATATACATATATATTTACATATAACGCTTACCGCTTAAGCTATCGAAGATGATACCTCTGTGCGAGACATCGTGTTCATATCATCATTCGCGAGTAAAGTCAGCGGGATAAGCGCTATCTCGCTAAGCAGCCCTATCGTATTTCGTTGAAAAAGCATCAGACGTTGAGGTAATATAGCCAGCTGTTTGAGTCATCTCGTAGAACAGCGCGTCAGATCATCTCGTTATCTTCCGTTTCAGGTAGGACTTCACCAGGACTTCTCCGGGCACGGGTTCGAATGAATCAGCGAGTTGCACCGCGGAAAAGAGGATCTTTAATTCTGCGTGTGATAGCATGAAGAAGCTCTAAGAAGAAGTCAAAATGCGAGGACTCAAAACCGGTTAACAAGTTCGGGCACAGGTCGCTTTTCGAAGCGCGCGATAAATAATCGCGTTATTTTATCTGCCTGTAAAATGTATGTATATATGTCGAAGAATATATATTTTATTTCATATCTATCGTATCGAAATGACATATATATATAAATATTTTTTTTATTTTATTTTTTCTCTTATTACTTGTGATTAGCACTAGTTTTTATTTATATAGCAATGATAATTTTATTTAATTATTTCTTATGAAAGTTCTATAGCTTCTCTGTTGAAGCAGTTTTTATATCCTCTCTTCGCACAATACATATGATGCATACTGATTCACATTATATAGTTATACAACTCAGCATTGATAAAGTAATGATATCGGTTGATCGTGAAAAAAATTTAGATAAGAGTAAGCCGTATATTTCGTATCGTACAATCTGGGAAATTATATAGCTGTTCGGTATTCTTTTATTGATATCCGCAAAACGAGAAAAAGATAAAAACCATAATACGTATTAAGATTGCAATCTTAAGCTCACAATATTATACAATATACATGACGCATTATCACAGTATTACATGCAATAAATAATATCCCTACGTGCGTAATTCTGCACGTGCTTATGATTCGAACATGATGACATTTAAGAAACATTCAGCTATATAGACGCATGCGTATATTCTTAAAATAATATTTAATTTTTAACGCTGTTTTTATATGCTTTTTTATTCTGACATAAGTTGTAAAGTTATATTTGCATTTCAGGTAAAACTTGTGATTTCACATATGTGTTTTCACATCAGAGAGTGAAAACAGCAGAGGGCTACTATTTTTTAAACAATCCAAAAATAGACGTCTAATAAAATACATGCTACAGATGATTTGATATTATTAGATTTGATAAGCTGAAGACTATTATCTTGTTTTACAAAATTGTGGAAATGATGAATATGACCCGTTACAAAGACCATACATTCAAGGACGGTCCTGTGGCGCAACGGATAACGCGTCTGACTACGGATCAGAAGATTCCAGGTTCGAATCCTGGCAGGATCGTAAAATTTTTTTCTTATTTGAATTATATAAATGTAACATTTAAATTAATTAATGAAAATTTTTTATTTTTATGAATATTATTATAGTAAAAATAACATTTTTACAAATGTAATAAAAGTAAAATATCTTTTATTCTTAAAAGAATGAGATATCTTTTTACTAATCATTAAATTATCACAAATTTAGTTACTTATTTTCAGTTAAAAAGAAAATACTTATTTTTAAGTAAGAAGAAAAAAGCAAAACATGTTACTTAAACATTCGTGAAATTTAAAATTTGTTGTATTCTATAATACGTATTTTATATATTATGCATAATTAACTTTTCAAACACTAATTTTATATTTTTTTTTTTTGCATGTGATTGTTTATTGAAAGAATTGATACATAACTACGATATTATATATCTATATGCTAACATATATTTATATCAAAGCCATTCTTCGTTGAAACTATTATTGTCTCTCGTTATAAATAGACCGAGTTAAAACTGCATCTGTTTTTGTCTTAGATGTCATCTTATCGCACACACATTTGCTGCTATCGTAGACACAATATATGTGTGTAAAAGGATATTTATTCAACGTCACGTTCAGCACTAATTGCCGTCGAGAATATTCACCAATGGGTTAAATAAATTAACCCATCGTCTTACCCTGCACGCAAGAAACAACAATGTGCGTATAAGTCAAGAAGAATCAACTATATAAGAAAATCCGGTCATTATTTTGGTATGTAATACGCGCCTTCGTATATTTATGTTAATTAAAAAATACATTTGTATATTTGTATATGTCAGAGATAAAAATCTGCATTATTATATTATATAATTTTATATAGCAAGTTTTTTTCAATAGATCTCAGAAATTGCAACTAATTTTTAGTTTTTAAATATCAGTTTTATATATATGACACGTACTTTCTTTTACAATTTGAATTCTATTTTTTGCAATTAAGTTTCTCTCGAAGTGAGAATCGCACAACTTTATAATGTTAATCTAATCAATGTCTATAGGATACAATTCCGGCTGCCCATACCCTTTCAAAATTCGAGGTCGGTGATCCTCTTGGTATTTCAAGTATTCAGGAGTTGTATTCATCTCGAGAAAGAAGCTACCTTGGCCAGATGAAGTCATCACGAACTCTTGTTAATTACGTTATCCCACGCTACCTTCGTTACGCTAACACAGTTTTATAAGATATTTTTATCTCGAGACCCCCGAGATAGACATCGTAAAGTACTAACTTTTAACTAAATAAATTCAAGAATTTATTTAACACAAAATAGTCTCATTTTTCTACAAATTTTTATATACACAAGAAAACATATCTTTATATTATACAGAACATCTCTTATTTGCTTTTCGTTCCTTCTTTTACCTATACTCGCATTATGCAGTACAATATATTATATTTGCAACAAAATTTTATATTTATTATACACAACATATGCTCGTTATAATTTATTACTCTTCTGTTGCAATTTTTCTAGTAATACATATATCTTATTAATTACATTTTCGTGAATTGCGAAGCTTTTAAACACCTCTGAATGGTCATTTTAAAAATAACGGTTTATTTCAGATGGATAACATTTTGAGTGGAATTTTGGCAATGTGATACGAACCGTTGGCGACCGGATGAACCCGATGAACGGCTCCTATGAATCAGCTCAAGAATTTTTGACTGCGCGCGATGGGTTTCTCTTACCTGTGGTCTGCGGGTAGGCGTCGACGCGGCACGATTCTCGATATATCAGCTGGCCACGGGTACCTGCAGCTCCACTCTGTCTTTCTCTCGGTCGAAGAGAATGAAGGTAAGACGAAGGTAAGGACGAAGAGGAGGATAACAGAGAGAGAGAAAGGAGAGAGGGCCGGTTTTTCTGGTTTTCCACCTCCGCAACCTGGTGGTCTCCTGTAGTCGTCTCTCGTTACCTTCGTACAATGAGATGTGTACGCGTCTTCATATGATGGTTCGATAAACGAGAGAAGAGCGTATATATTTAGGAAAATTTATTAACATTCTAGTAGCATACGTAAAGTCACGTCTCTCGCTCTCTCATTCATTACTTTCATAGCATGGCACCGACAAAAAAATCTCAATGTACGAATAGCGATTTGATTATATGAATCATATTGACATTATATGTAATAATAGTATATAATATGAGAAAGAAAAAATAAATAATATATAAAATATGATAGAAATATGAGAAAGAGAAAAATAAATAGTATATATAGAATATGATAGTATAATGTGATATAATATAATAAAAATAATTATTAGAGAAAGATAAAACTTATATGATTACAAAGAGTGAAATTCATAGTATGTATGTGTTTGCATTATAAAATTTTTTATGTCTAGAAAATTATCTTAATTTTATTTAACAGTAAGATACAAGTTGCACGACTAATCAGGCTTGCTTCAGGAACCATAATTCATTTTATTGTATCGTGAAATGATTTATTAATAGGGAGAAATGTGCGTGCACACATAGTTTTATTTAAACTATGCGTGCATATTTTATCCCGAGAAATTAATTGTTGACATAAATGTGCATTAAAGTACACCTGCATGTCAAACATATGCATGCCATATGCAAAGTTCTTGTGTCTATTTACTCGCGACACTAAGGACAAACATAGGTAACAAAGCCAGACTATGATATATCATATAACGTACACTATGTAAAACGAGATTCGACGTACATAGAACATATATAGAATCAGAGGAAAACTATCCTGGCGTAACGTTGTGAGGTTTTTGCAAACGACGACAAGCGGATGCGTTTAACATTGAATTACGGTAACATTGAATTAAAGTACCGTTTGATGGCCAATTGTAATTAATACAATTCCACGAATAACGAGAATGTAATTATTGTGATTGGACTATATCGAATACAAATGTTGAATTTGTTAAAATCGTTTGAGATTTTATAAAGTCGGCAAAATTAATATATATAATTTCAAAACGCGATCAAATAATTAGAATGCAATCGCTTGAGAATATTGTAAATCAAATTCTTTAAAAAATTGGTTGATTAATTTTCTTGACAGATATTAATATATGTATATTAATATAACGATCATTGATTCTTCCCATTGCAAAAATTGTTCGCTTATCGACTAAATTATATATTTCATTCAATATATAAAGATAACATTGTTTCTCGTTGTCTCAAATTTTACGTCAAATCAATGAATCATTTACATACCGGTACAAAAGATTTGTTTAATATGATTATAGGACGTCTTTATACGAATAAATAAATTTCAATCTTTATCACACTTTTTCATTTGTTTCTAAACGAAAGAAACGTGTAATAAATAATATAGATATTTTTGTTAAAAATTCTGACTTTATTGAGTTTATTAAAAGTTGGATGTAATAGAAAGTATAACTAACTATATATTAAAAAGTATAAATACCCTGATAGAAATTTATTACTAGCAACGCCAATTTATCACTTATTTCGAGTACTTAAATAAATTACTGTATATCAGTATTTTAAATACTCGAAATATGATTAATTGGCGTTACTAGTGATAAATTTCTACAAGGATATAACACTAAATCTATCCTATTTTGATATTTATGCGGCGCTATCTGCATAATATATGTCAAATTTCATAATTTACTATTTATAAATCTTATAACGTAAAAAATATTTAAAAAAAAACTATTCACTTCCTCTTGCAAAAAAAAAGAAAAAAAACAGTTTTGCAATGATCTATACATACCTATATATATATTTCGCAAATATATATGTTTCAACTTATATTATATGATAAGATATAGATTTCTCGTAAAAAAAAAGAAACTAATTAACACTAATATGATAAGACTAGAATAATATGACAGACCAGAAATTGGGATATGTACTTTGCTTTATTCTACGTCGCCTTCTCCTCTACTTACGCAACAGAGTGTACTTGTGATCGAAATATTCATTTACAGCGACACGCAAAGCCAGGAAAGTGCATGCAGTGATATCGTTGAAGCAGTTTCTAACGAGCCTTACTGTGAATAACAAGACCTACGAGACCCCTGAAGAGTTAGCAGGCTGCTGATCGAGGATGGCTATGTCTGTACGTAATTTTATCGAGATTGATTTATGCAATCATACTTGTTGCTGAAAAGCACCGAACATGACGTAGCATAATATTTGTGTTGATTTTTTTATAGAAGCAGGAACGACTGTACACCCCGAGTGAATGGAGTAAACGATATGGATCTGACGAACTGTGTGAACAATTTTTCACATTCTGCGCAAAAAGTAAAAATAGACGTTTTGTATCAAGTTTTATTTATTGCTTCAAACTAGATAGAGCAATCGTTGATTAAAACTTAAATTTTCCTGGTTTTGCAATTACACTGCGTGCGACAAGTGGAAATCTGTCAAATATTATTTATTTAATCGCTAAACTTGTATTTTGTTTATTATTGCAGTCACGGGAAAGGTTCAGAAAACTATAAAATGCGAACTTAATGTTCCATACGGCCCTACGGAACGTACAAAGTACGATATATATGGTACCGATTTACCTGAAGGTACGTAAACAATAATTCTATATAATAAGAGATGACATTACTGAAACCATAAGAAAAAAGAAAATAAATGATAAATTTATAGAATTCATGCTTCAAGATCGATTATTTCAACATGCAAGAAAAAATATGTTTCTAATAAATAATAAGAGATAGAATTAATTTCCAAGAATTGGAAGTTTTTCGCATCTACATAATCTATAAATAGATGATATATGACTTATAAATGATTAATCTTTTCGATCGATACGCAAACATGATGTTTATATAATACATGCTATCAACAAGTACAGCAATAACAAATAATAATAGTTCAATTTGATTCACCTAAAATATAAGTGCTAACAATATTTTGTATTCAATTAAAATATATGTATATTAAAAGACCTATTAAAACATAGATATTAAAAAATAGTTATGTATTTCAGATGCACCAATATTTGTCTTCATTCATGGTGGATATTGGCAGGAATTCAGCAAAGATCTCAGTGGATTTTCGGTACCCTTGTTTGTTGAAAACAAAATCAAAGTAATCAATGTTGGATACGATCTGTGCCCAAATGGTAAGACGGTAAAAATAATTATATTAAATTTGATTGCTGCTTTTTTCACAATTATATTCATATATATATATATATATATATATATATATATATATATATATATATAAAACTAGATACCTTGCAGTATCTACATCAAATTAATCAGTTGCTTAATAAAAAATATTTATAATTATATTAGAAATTAGTGCACAGATTAAAACGATTATTTATATTAAAACAGTATTGATTATATTTTCTACCATTTCAGTCAAACTTGGAGACATAGTAGCGCAGATAAAATCAGCGGTCGCGCAAATATTAAAAGATGCAGCCGAATCAGGCTCCAAGTAGGTTGCTCTTCAGCTTCAATCATTTTATATCAGATCTACATCTTTTTTTAAAAAATAAAAAATTTAATTATACAAATGTACATATAGATACGTATGCATAGCTGGACATAGTGCTGGTGCGCATTTGGCTGCGACTCTGTTGCACGACGAAGACTGGATCAACCGTATGACGCAGCAAGGATATTTTGAACTGTTAAAGGGAATCGTATTAATAGGCGGAATTTATAACATAAAACCTCTTGTTGGTACCAGTTTTGCGACAGCCCTTCATCTCACCGAGTAAGCAGTTGATTGTATCTCTGCAAAATATTTAATATATATGCTATAGATACATATACTATACATTTTTGCTCAATGTTTTAGCGAGGAAATTAAAGAATGGAGTTTGTCCACCCTTGATGAAACGGAAAATCATCATATCAGTGGCTTGAAAGTTATCGTAACTGTAGGGGAATGCGATTCTCCTGTATTTGTCAACGAATCACGCGAATACGCCCAAGTATTTAATTAAATATAGTGAATCGAATACAAGAAATTATATATAAGCTAAGATTATATTACTGTTTCAGAAAATTATTTCTATAGTGGATAACGTGGAATACCTGTTACTTCGAAACGATATCGACCACTTCGACATAGTGGAGAAACTATTGGATTCAAACTATTACCTTGCTAAATTGATATTGAAGTGTCTTCGTCCCGATGCGGATACCCGTTAAAAGCTTATGAAGCTAAAATACTTATTTTAATACACTATATTCAATATAAAATACACACATACACACACACAATTTGAATTTATTTAATAAACTTTATTAAGAATTATATTAATATATCAATATATTGGCTTGAACCACATATGTGCTTTATATGATAGGGATAATTAACATCTAAATTGATCAGCTCATATTGGTTTTTATGTAACAATGATCTAGAAAAACAGTTCTTACTCTATGTTCGAGTCATTTGGGTTTCGTTTTCGGCAAATGTACATTTATTTGCTTCGAGACGGATTGTCCTGCCGACTTTTTGGAAATTAAAATCGGCTTACCTTGCTGAATAATTCGTAATATCGTCTCGTTTCCTCTAAAGGGCACTTCATTTCTCGCGGTAACTGAATTTTGTGGTTGATTTTGTCTAGTAACAGTTTGAGCTGGCAATCGTATTATCGTAGATGCACTAATATCACGTACTGGCGCTATAATTTGTCCAGTTCGCGTATTTACCTTTAGATAATTATTCGTAATATTTTGAACACTGATTATATTTTTATTCGTCGGTATAAGCAGTCTTGGACTTTTTACCACAGGAAATACCTTGTCTCCAAGTTTTATAGTGCAAGGTTTGGTAATAGGTGGTGTCTTATTGGTTATAGGTCCTATTTCATTGGTCAGATCAACTACTTCTTTGAGCTGGTTTGTTTCTTTCGACGCATTTTCTTGGGTGATTTTAACTGTTTTCTGTCGACTATCTACCTCCCAAGTCGTGGGAGGTTTTGCAAATGATCGTACTCGCAATAGAGGCTTCTTTTCTTCTTCCTTTTGATTCTCAGTAACAGTTACATCCTCTATCACAGCATCTGTTATTACCTCTGCGACATCTTCTGTTATCACCTCTGTGACATCTTCTGTTACTACTTCTGCGACATCTTCGGTTATCACTTCTGCGACATCTTCTGTTACCACCTCTGCGACATCTTCTGTTATCACCTCTGCAACATCTTCTGTTATCACCTCTGTGACATCTTCTGTTACCACTTCTGCGACATCTTCTGTTATCACCTCTGTGACATCTTCTATCAATGGCTCTGCTACTACTTTGGGTATCACGTCCGCTGCATCCTCTGTTATCGTTTCTATTACAGGATCTGTTATCACTTCGGACATATCTTCTGTTATCATCTCGGGCAGATCTTCTACAACATACACGTAAAATACATGTATATGATTTTTCCCATTTTTTATGTGCAAGTTTAAAATTCACAAACCTTCAGTCCTATTAACATTATTTGCGCAGACTGCTGTAGAACATGTTGATAACAAAACCTTTGGTATTTTTGAATTCACAATGTTCTCTGCAACAATATTGCTACTACATACTTGATGTACAGTTTTCTCACTAATTATCTGGTTCTTCATCTTAGGTTCCAGTCGATTAATCTCTTTTACTGAAGTTTTTAATTTATTATTTTCATTATATTTTTGTTGTGACGTATCTAATATACTTTTATTTGATATAACTTGATTTGTATTCCGGTATATATTTGTTGTACTTATATTACTTATACCATTTTCTACAGATGGCCTAATGTCTTTAACTTTTTTCTTTATTACTTCCTCATTGTTACTATCATCTTCACTTAGACCAGTCGTAGATAGGTCATCCTTGCTTTTATTCTCATCAACACTTTCTTCTTCTTCTTCCTCTTCTTCCTCTTCCTCCGAAATTGGTTCAGTATTATTTTGCTCCTTCATTTTTTTTCTTTTTGGTAATATTCGTCAAATATTGCAGCTAATCTTTTTTCACCCTCAGTGCGATTGTCTGTTAATTTCTTTGCTAAATCTTTATCTTTTATAGCTGGGTCTTCTCTTGTGTTTTCAAGATATAAAGAAAAAGTATCCCAATAATCATTACGCCTTGTGCGTTGCAAAAGTTCTCCTAATTCTTTGAAGGCTTTTTCGGCTGTAATACATAATAATATATAATAAATAATATGCGTATAAATATATAAACACATATAAATGTATAAATATAACAAACACAAATATATAAATATATATAAATCTAACAAATTAATGACAAAAATCTATATTGTATATATATACACATAAATACACATAAGTATCAAAATTAATATATATCTTGCCTAATTGCTTTTGTTTTGTTTCATCTAAGCCTAAATTCTTTTTTTCATTACATCTATTAACACATTCTAAGATGTCTCTGTAATCGGGAAATATTACATCATCTGTAAGAGATCCTGTCCTTTTTATTTTATTTCTTCGAGAGATTTTAGAATTAATAAAATTTGTTATTGCCTGATCGATAGCAACAATTCGAGTTGCACTTATATGCTTGGGACGCAAGTATACACGTCCCGCATCAGCATTTTCTCCTGTTAATTCACAATATTTATTATATAATTCCACCATTCTTTGTTTATATCTTTCAACTTTTATATAACTACTATCATCCTGATCAAGATCAACCTCATCTTCTTCCAATTGTTTAATTTTTTCCCGACATTTTTCCATGGTTTTTAATACTGATTTAATTTTTTTTCTTGTGCTAGGATTTATATTCTCCTCTCTATCATTCTCATAATCTGGTTCTGCTGCATCAATACTTGATTTGTTTAAACCGTAAGAAGTAGAGGGAACTGCATCATAGCTTTCATTAGATGGTAATATACGAGGTTTCTTTCTGATCCTTGTTTTCATTTCATTCATTACTTCTTGTATGTACACATATATTTTGTTGTCATCGTTTATAATAGCTGCACGCTTGTCATTTAAAAATGAAACAAAATATTCTGAGCTAGTGTAGTCCAAGTCTAACTCTTCATAACGTCTTTTTAATTTATTAATAATTGTTTCCATATCTTTTCTATCGTTATCTTTACTTTTTTGAAGACATAAACTTATAAATGACGGAAAGACATCATGTGCAATATATGATATTCTTTTTTTCTCTTTCACAATCAATTTTGGCTTTTCAATTATTACTTCTTGCTCCTTATTTGGTTGCTCAATATGATCAGACTTTTCAGATATTTGATATAAATCAGGCTGAAATACATGTTCAACCAATGTCATAGCTGTATTTAAACCTGTTAATTTTTTCTTCTTCTTCTCCACGGTACTTTGAGTTTCCTCTTCTGTATTCGTTTTCATTTTACGTTTCAAATTGTTTCCTTCTACTTTTTCATCATTATTGGATAAAGTTTCTACCTTCTCACATGTAAGAGAAACATTGCCCAATTTATATTTTTTATTTTCCTATAATAAATTTTTAATAAAAAAAAGTTTTAGATTCTAAGATTATATTTTATTATTAAAATAATATAATTTTCTTTTTTTTTCCAAACTCTAAGTACACACATAAGATGTTACTCTTACAAAATTTATTTTAAAAATATATAACATAGAAAAATTTCATTAAAGTTCTATCAAACCTTTTGCAAACTCGTCTCCTCGTCGGAAGATATACAAATAATTTCCATTGTTTCCATTATTTTCAAAAATAATGTTAATGTTCAGATATTACCGCCAACGAAATCCGTCCAGGTAACCTATCTTCGAAGCTGTCTTGAACGACCTGTCAAACAACAATATATCAAAAGATAATAATATACAATTTTCATCACGACACAACAATAGTTTTGACACGAATAGCACTGTGATTTCACCAGGTGTCCATTCACAATCTGCGCAATGATGATGTAGCTGATGCTTCGCGATATGTTTTATTACCGAGAAGATACATTTGAGATGATTTTAATAACTGATAATCATCTTCCGGTGTAAATTCACGAAAAATTCGTTGTTTCGAAAATAAAGTGCAAATCTCGCATATTTAGCTTCTTGAAAACAGTAACTTTATGAAAAATTGTAAACCCTGAATTTTCGGTAGATGTTAAATTTCGTTTTACTTACGATTCTATGTCGTTAATTCGGTGAATGGATTCGCAGAGAAAATATGGATACAAATTGAAACAAATGTCCAAAAGCCCGCACTTTAATGGACATGCTCGAAAATCACAACTGAAAATAGATGATATCTAGGTTCAACAGTTTCTCATAGTTCTTACGATATGATAAGAGGGAAGAGACGTGATAAGAGATCAAAAAGTACCGTATGTGTACGTAATTTTTGTGGTACGTATTTATCGCACGATACTGAAGTAAGCGAATTAAAATATCACCGGTGTACGAACAATTTTATTGGTCGATCATTAGGGAAATTTTAGCCTACAGGATGGTACGTCACATCTAGAGATCTATTAATAGCTTCGAGCGTAACAAAACGGTCGAATTAAAGAGAGGGGAAAAATCAGAAAAACAAAAGTATCGTAAAAACCCATTCGGCCATCTTTGAACATAGAATGACATGCGTAATTTGAAAACGTGACAATATGGCGTCTTATACTCGCATGTGATTGGTTGATTTATCGATACGGATATGCGATTGGTCAATTTTGCGATATGAACCTGATTGGTCGACTTTTGGATACGGACATTTGATTGGTCGACTTTTCTGTGTAGACATATGATTGGTCAGCTTATGTGATTTTGCCTTAAGTCTATTTGTGAATGGCCCTTAAATCGATGAAAAGAGGAGCAATTTGTTTCTAAATACGATCAATACAACATCGATAATACTGCTTGCGCATGGTTCACTGCGCATGTTTTATGTTATTATGATTATGCGAAGCGTATATTTACGTGCGCAGTGTCTTCTGCGCAAGATACATTTCGTGATTTATTGATTATAACGCGTTTTATAATAAAAAAATAATTTTAGTTATCAATTCAGAGACATTCTTCTTATTTTAAAATCGATTTTTTGACATTAATTTTAGACGTAATGAAATAATTTCTATCATCAATTCAGACATTTTTTAATTAAAAATCAATTTTTGACATTAATTTTAGACGTAATAAAATAATTTCTGCATTTTTTCTAAAAATAAAATATCGAACAGAGAAAGAGATAGAATAAATAAGTAACTTTATAAAATTATATTTTTTTTACGCACAAAATGCAGTAAAGAACTCGGTGAGAAGTGGTTGCAACAGTCAATTATTTTTAATAAATATCTATTATGTCCAGAAAAGTGAAATGCTAACGAGTTTAAAGATCACAAATTTGCATATTCGACAGCCAATCAGTTTATTCGACCAATTTATATGGCCGACGTAATGTTACTTGACAAAAATCCCTAGAAAATATCTGTCAACGGATGTGATGCAGTTCACCATTTCTGCTCATGGACGATTGATTCTTTCCGGTTCTAAGCACAGCAAGCATGGGTAAGTTGCAAAGAATTTTCTTCTTTATTATCATATTTTTGAAAAAATAATTGTACAAACGTCAATTTTGATTAATTCTTCATCGATATCTTTCAATGTATTTTCTTCGTTATTCGTATATTTATAAATAAACGCATCTTATATGTATTTTTCCCATCATTTATGCATGTGTTTTCCAAGTATCTAGCGATACTATCAGAATCAGATATATTTATTTGGATGATTATGAACATTAAAATGCTATTTTTATATTATATCTGAATATGAAGATTTTTTAACGTGTTTTTGTGTACAATAGATATAGCGTTTTTATCTACATGATAATGTACATAGAATTTAACCATATTCTTGCATTGTAGGTAAACCTCGTGGTCTTCGCACTGCGCGCAAGCACGTGAATCACAGACGTGAGCAGCGATGGAATGATAAGGACTACAAAAAGGCACATTTGGGAACTAGATGGAAGGCTAATCCTTTCGGTGGTGCTTCCCATGCCAAGGGAATTGTTTTGGAAAAAGTGTATGTGTAGCTTGTTGATTTAACAATTATACATAAAATTTGTATTTTGAATGAAACTTATTGTTATTTCATTTTTTTAACAGAGGAGTGGAGGCCAAGCAGCCAAATTCTGCTATTCGAAAATGTGTTCGAGTACAGTTGATTAAGAATGGAAAGAAGATCACAGCCTTTGTACCAAGAGATGGTTGTCTCAATAATATTGAAGAGAATGACGAAGTTCTAGTGGCAGGTTTTGGTCGTAAAGGTCATGCTGTTGGTGATATTCCTGGAGTACGCTTCAAGGTGGTCAAAGTTGCAAATGTTTCTTTACTAGCCCTCTACAAAGAGAAGAAAGAACGTCCTAGATCTTAAATTGCCAACTAAGATATATATTGACAAATATAACAAAACTATAACTTAGACAATTGTTTTATTCTATTAACATCTTCCCTTTTACACAAAAATTCCTATAATGTATATGGATAAAATTTCCAAATATAAATTTTTCTATTCTTTGTACATTATAAATATTTGGATTACACTATATATATATAAATTATGCTTAATGATATGAATTATAGCTAGAATTGTTTAAGTAAAAAATAAATATAAAATCAATCAACACTATTATTTGCCATACTCAAATTTTCGAGTGCTTCGTTACAAATAACTATATCTTCTATAACTTTGGTTAAAGGTGTAGCAGTCTTCGGTAATTCTTTTGTTAAATCCTTTATATTAAATATCTCGTCTTTTGCTTGCAGTACCTGTACACATATATGATTGGAAATATATATTTTGACATTTATAAACATTTTATATTGTACTTTATACAGGATGTCTCAGACCACCTGTACATGCTGAATATTTTGAAAATTATTTTACAGTTGACTTTGAGACTTCTTGCATAACTGCTGCCAAGATCAAATATTTATCATTGTATGTATTTGCTAAAGCCCTACAACTTTTGTTTAAAACATTTTTATCTGTCGTGCTCAGTTTTCACAATATTCGGTATGTACGGATGATCTGAGATACCCTGTATATAGTGACAATATAAAATTATCTTACCTTTTTTAAAGTGTTGAAATCGGAACATATACTTTTAATGTCCGAACAAATGGAATCAGAAATATCTTTGTCAAAATTTCTGGTTTGTACTGGCCAACATGACATTGTCTGAAATGTTTCTATGAACTTCTCAATTTCCTTCTTAAACTGTGTATTCTGTTCATCGTTGATTAGTCCATACTCAGTCTATAATATTTGTACAAAATAATTTGCACATTATTTGTAATTTCATTAATAGTCTTTTTTTTCTGTCATACCTCTACACATGGATCTTCAGCCAAATTGGTTTTAATATCTTCGCAATCATTACTTGACACTTCTGTTTCAATTTGTTTGAAATATTTAATAGCTTCAGTATAACTTACTGTTGGTTTAACAGAAGGAGAAGATATTTGATTGACATCATTAATGTATAGCTAATCAAAAAATAGATACATATAGATATATATTAGAAAGATTTATATTTATTCAATATTAACATACCTTAAAAATATCCTCAAACGTTTCCTCAGTCTCGTTTATACTTATAGGGGATTTCAGGTGTACTTCTGTCATAAAATCTAATAATAATCCTAAAGTTGGTAGTTGTTCCTTCAAGGAACATTTACCCTAACATAACATTAAATATCTTTAATGTAATAATATGTTAATCATCATCTTACATAACGAATATATATTATTTTAAACAAACCAGTAATATATCCTTGTTGTTACAAATTCCAATATCAGAGTAGTATTCGAACAATTGATCTGAAAACACATATATATATATATATGTTATTTTAATTATATCATAAATATTATATGCTTTTTATTTTATTGTATACATAAATATTCATTGTAGAACAATAAATGAGTAAAATAAATACACCATCCAAAAATTGCAAGTAACAGAAAAATATAAGAATACCTTCCAGGGCAACATCCTTCAGCTTTTTCAAATTTTCGTTGATGGATGGCGATTTCTCTGTCAGGAGCCAAGAAAGTAAACAAATACGATTTTTACCACTAAGAATTGTTGCTTCCAAATCTTTTGACTCCACGGTAGTGATATATGGATATCGCAAACATATCAAAGTGTCATATATGTTTGTCAAAATATTGTTCGCGTTATTCATAGTAGCAAATTATATAGATACACACGAATAAAAATCTGAAGTCTTTAACGATGAATGGAAAAATATGAAGAAATTATAAAACTATCTCAACTTGCAACAATAATGTGTTATTTGCAGGAAATATCAGTAAAACACGCGTTGCTGCACTGCATATATTTTTAAAAACAAAGTTGTGAAGTTTCAAACAATAGACATGAATAGTGGGCTGGAACAAAATGAGAGACTCGTATATGTTTCGTGCAAAATGGCCGACATGGGCACACTAAATACTAAATAACTAGATAGAAAACTAACACTCTTTTTGGATGCACGCGCGTTATTAAAAAAAAATTATAATATATCTGTATATTACAAAAATCGAAATTATAAAAAAATAGTAGTAAATTTCAATTTATAGAATATGTAAAATGATAGATTTCTATATATAATATATTAATATATAGTATATATATTTAATATATTAAAATAAAGTACAAAAATAATTCAGATATTTTTAAAAATATTTTATTGAATACTTAACATTAAAAAGTATATATTTATGCATTTGACAAAATATTCATATTTGATTATTTGTTGCTGCCAAAGAAAAATATTTTTTGTAATCTTTATCCATACCTAAAGAAAAATTATAACAAATACATGTGTAATGAACTAAATTAATATTTCACATTAGATATAAATTTAAATAAGTTTAGTTTTTTAATAACTAAAATATATTTAGGTAGCTTTGAAGAAATCCTCTGAACTTGTTGTGTAAATGTGTCCTTCGCAAAGAAGAAAATCTAATATTTCATCTAAGCGAGATATAACATGCTTTGGCACTTGTGCCAAAATTTCACGTTTCTCAATCCCACACTCTGACTCATTTGCCGAACGAACAATTTCGAGAACTGCCACTTGTTCGGATGACATACCACTCATTGTACTGTCAAATGTTAATGTTGGAGCTGCGATAGTTTCTTCCACAGGTTTCTTAGCCTTCAATATAAAATATATAACTTCCATAAAGTGGCATGTTAGTTCATTTAAGTCTTCAATAGGATGCATACGCAGAATCAGCACATGTTGTTGATTATTTTGATTGCGTAATAATCCATAAACTCGTACATATGAATTAACTTGTGTACAAATGCTGTCCTCAGGATTTTTATCTGCTTCCAACCACATGACAGCTGTGACAGTACCTATTAAATAACATAAAAAAATCAAAGTAAGTATGAATAATATAAATGTATCAGATAAAATAATTAAATAAAAATATTCAAATAAATAATTATATTGTATGCAAGTTTCAGAGATTTTTTGATCAAGAAATTTAATACATATATGTATCAATTTATTCAAGCCATAAAATATCAAAGCAAAAGCTTTTGCGAATACACATATGTGTACCTATTATCAAAATCGAAATAATTTAGTCACCTGTGTCATCCTGGATACTGAAAGAGATTTTTGTTGTATCCTGTTCGATATTACGTACGATCCCGACGAATGTGAGAGTATTTACAGATTTGCCAGCAATCTGCAAATCTCCCGTGGTGGATGACGTGATATGTTTTATCATTACAGGAACGATGCTCCTGTCATTACTTTGCGAGCCCTTTTTTCCGGATCCTCCTCCTCCTTGAGTGCTGTCATCCAGAAATCCCCCTCCAAAATTCGTGGAGCTTTCATTCCACATGATTGCGATCTTGCAAGCTTATCCTTTGCAGGCGAAGTATGTTTATATGTTATACAAACAAGGCTGAATTTGCGCGCGTGAAATACAGCAAATTCGAGTACAGATTAAGGGTCGGCAGTACACCCAGGCAAACTCCGAATTGATATTGGAGACCTCGTGCGGTGACAACGCGAAACTCCGGTTTCAGTGTTGCCAACGCCGAGAAATCAATTCTCGGGTTTTATGTAGTGGTGTATGTCTGTACACGTACATACACCACTGCATCGCTCACGCGGACGCACGTAAGAGAGACAAGGACCGATAATCACGTGTTCTCCTTGTTCCTCTACCGTGCCGGTATACGTGAGATGCCGCCTAAAAATGCTTTCTGGCCTTCCGTAGCAGAAAGCAGTAACGTAGCAAGACTAATAAGCACCCATTTTTGTAAATTTTATATATGCTTATGCACATATGTGGATATATTATTTATATATAAATATATATATATATAAAATATACTAATTTACTCTCAATTATATATGCTACTGTTATTATTTATCATTAGACAATTATAAAACAGAGGTTATAGATTTGGTCTGACTACACTGGCCTCAAATTAAAGTTGTATATATATTTATTTTAACATTTCGACCATACGGGATGTGGTCCTTTTCAAAAATACAGATTGGAATATCAGAGAGTTACAGCATTTCGTCTTTAAGATGTAAGCGCAAATTATGATTCGGAGAGATTTAACTTGTCAAATAATAAAATATAAAATAAATTATAAAACATATACATATATAATTTGTAGTGCTATATATATATATGTTTTATAATTGTCTAATGATAAATAATAACAGTAGCATAATTGAAAGTAAATTAGTCTACAATGTTAGACACGGGTACTTGTTAGGTTTGATAATTTATTGCTTATACTTTTTCGAGAGACAAGAATAAGAGAACGAATATAAATTATTATTAGCTTGTATAGCAATCATAGATTGACGAATATGCGTTGGTTATTCTTGATTTCTTTCTATTATTGATGTTATTGTATAATTTGCTCCATAAATACTTATAACATAAAAGAACTTATGTCGAGTAATATTGATCAATGCAAAGGATGTTCAGTATGTATCACCCAGTAAATTATTAGAGTTCAAATATATCAATATCAATTTTTTAATAATATATTGGAATACAGAGAAATGATAAAAAAATATATTTCAGCAATAAAAATTTTATAAATATATTGAAAATATTTTTACTACACGCGCGCGCGCGCGCGCGCACACACACACACACACACACACACACACACACACATACACACTATATAAATGCAAAATAATACAGAAAATAAATTTTTAATAAAAATCAACATACCAGCTATTTGTGTGTGCATATGTAGCTGCGAGCATGCAACGGATTTATTACTTGATAAATTTATTTACGGACTTATTTTGCATTTATATATATATATATATATATATATATATATAGTGTATGTAATTGTAAAAATGATTAAAATATTTTCAATATTTAAAAATTTTCAAGTTTATCGCCTTATATTTCTATAATTTTTCTATATTCTAATATATTGTAAAAAAATTGATATTGATATATTTGAACTCAAGTTTTTTACGTGATTGAATATTATTGCATTGAGCCATCATACGTTACTCGTAAGTTCTTTTACATTATAATAGTATTTATGTAGCAGAGAGAAAGAGATAAGAGAGAGATTATACAATACAACTTTAATAATCGAAAAAATCACGATAACGCTATTGTCATATCTATGTGTGTGCATATATATAAACATATTAATTTGCATATTATCTACCCAGACAGCACCAAGTCTAAAATTGACGCATAAGATAGCATTAAGAAATCTTTAAGACAGCTATCTTATGATATGATATCAAAAAGACATCTTATAAAGATATCTTACGCGCCAATTTTGGACTTGGTGTTGTTTGGGTATATAAATAAAATATGTACACAAATAAAATAATATTTGCATAAATATTATTTTATTTGTACATATTTTATTTACATAGATTATATGCAAATATTTAAATAAATCATTCGATAATTTATTACACATTTTATTTATTATATAGATTTATATAGATTATATGCAAATATTTAAATAAATCATTCGATTATTTGTTACAGATGCATAATGTGAAATATATATTGCGTACACGAAACGATAATTGGAAGATAATGTTAGGCAAGAATTATTGCTATTCTTATTGTTCTTTTACATATAATATACATATACAGAGAAACAATGATAATACGAAAATCGGTTCTTGCTGATATCTCCCAATAATCGCATTCGTTCAACGCATTAGTGTTGTGTCTACATGGATGTTACTACATATGCGATGTAAGAGAGACAAGGACAGAATGATAGTCTCTCCTTGTCAAGCTGTTAGCTGTCAGTATGTTACCACGGAAATTTCCCCTGCTCCTTATGAATTTAGTGAGAATCTTATCGTCCAGATATTTCATAAAATAAGTGACATAACTTTGGTTTTTTTTTTTTTAATATATTCTTGATATAATAAAGTAGTCCGCCAAAGAGTCGGATTTTGCATTTTTGCTCTGAAAAATTTATAATAAATAAAATACGGACTCCTGGCTAACCCAACCTTACCCGTTACTAGCTGCGCATTCCCCCAAGTTATATTATAAATTTTATTTTCATCTTTTTTTCAATAAATAACTCTTTGGCGGACTGCATTTGAGCTTACTGATTAAGAATATCATAAATTTAATAAGATTCATTCAGTAGTTTCGCTAATATCTGGAATATAAGAATCTCTAATTCCCGGCCGGCCGATAGGCGTCTCTACCATGTCGCCTGCCGACCCTTAAGTTAGGATAAATTAAGTTAATGTCGCATTTCCATCACAACCAGGTGCACATACATACTGGTTTTACTGTGTTTCCATCAATGACAGAAATCATAGAAATCTATAGAAAGTGAGAGGTTTATGCTCCATGGAAAAATTTTTAAATTGGAACAAGAAAATTTTTAATTAAAATTTATTAATTATTTTTTTACTTATTAATGTGTGTGTGATAATTTTATTTATTTTTTTTAATTTATCAATTATTTTACAATTAATTTTTTTCAATTTGTTAACGCAGTTTCAAATGCAAAAAGTTCAAAGAAAGTGCAAAACCACCAAAACTATGATATCTATTTGACAGATTTATATTAAGATTAAAATCCCATCTGATCAATCAGAAAAAAAGATTCTTCGTGCTTTGATTAATCAAGTCTCATCTTCATTTCATACTTTTATTTGTTTTGTTTAAATAAAGTTTGTTTTTTGTAGCCGCATCAATTATTAATTTTTCTTCTTTTTCTCTCCAACGCGTGATCGCACATATATATGTATATAGAACTATCTGCTTTTCTCGAGGAAAAAATGTAACAGGGTGCAGCTATAAAGAACAAACCTGAGAGTGTTACTGCCGGTCTTTTTTTACATACTCATGCTTTTCTAAAGGACAGAGATATAAAAATCCTTGGGCGCACAGCTGTTTCGTCGAGGCCGATTGAAGGCGCGATAAAAATAAATCCGAAAATAATTCGAATCCGCCTTTAATCTCGTCGAAGATGAGTCGGGAAGCTCGAGGATTGTTCGTGTCTCCGGTTTGTTGATTTTATGTTATCGTAAAAAGTATCATGGCGTCTAAGAGCCATGTGGACAACACGGTGAACGAACGTCGTTTGCGACCGATTTACGGTAGGTATAAATTTCCCGAAGTCGAGGTCAGATCCGTTTTCCTCGTTTCCGTCGAACTGTCCGGTCGTATCTGCGAGACCGAGGATGACGAGGTTATATAACAGCACACCAAGATTCAGGTTCCTCTGGCTTTTCAGACTGGCTTGACAATGGCAACAATAAGAAGGCGCTCCAGGAGGCGGACAAGGTGCTCAAGAAACATCCGAGCAATCAATGCGCCAGGGTGCTCAAGGCCCTGGCCTTGTTGCGGCTAGGTAAGGAGAATGAGTGCCAAGTTATCATGGACAAAGTGCGGTCTGAGATACCATGCGAGGATTCTACCCTGCAGGCGATGACTATCTGTTATAGGGAGATACATCAGCGTGAGTCTTCAGATCTTTTATTAAATTTTTCATTCAGAGTTTCACTATCTTACTCTTTCAATTGTCAATTCAATTCTTTGCATTTAATTTTTTAGCTGACAAAATTAGCGAAGTTTATGAAGCTGCTGCAAAAGCAGATCCGAATAACGAAGAGCTTCTGACGCATCTTTTCATGTCCTATGTTCGTCTGGGGGATTATAAAAAGCAACAGCAGACCGCTCTCACCTTGTATAAAATGAAACCTAAGAACCCATATTATTTCTGGGCTGTTATGAGTACAGTGATGCAAGCTATTCATGCAGATCAAAAGTTGGCAAGAGGAGTTATTTTACCTCTGGCAGAAAGAATGGTTTGTTTATCGATTGTTATTTCTTGTATCTGCACATGTTTGCGTGTAGTTACAGAGAGTTGATTAATTTATACATAAATAGCTATTGATGAAGATGATTAATATAGAGTTTTTTTGGGTTAGGTCCTAAAATTAGTGAGGGAAGGAAAAATGGAAGCGGAGCAAGAAGTACAACTTTATTTAATGATTTTGGAATTGCAAGATAAAAATGAAGAAATATTGAATGTATTGTCTAGTCCTTTAGCTTTACATCTTTCATATGTACCACAACAAAAGCTACAATTTTATTAAAACTAGAACGTTTTCCTGAGGCTGCTAATGCATATCGTGAACTTATTAAAGAGAAGTAAGTAAAATTTTTATTTGCAATATTTTTCTTTCATAATTTGTTTTATATACCTATGGTATTTTGCTATAAATAAGTTAACGTTAGTACGTAAAATTAATTTATTATTATATTTATTATGCAGCATCGACAATTGGGCATTTTATCAAAATTATCTCTTAGCGGCCTTAAAGTTTCAACAACCAACAGAATGCTTGGATTTTCTTAACAATATTATTAATACATCTGAAAAGAAAAATCGTGCACCATACCTGGCTCGTTTAGATTTATTAGAACGCGCCTATACTAATGAAGATCTACAGAACAGTTTGCAACCTGTAGACTTTATGCGGCAATATTTCGCTCAATTTGGAGAAAAAGGCTGTGTAGTTGGTGATTTGCGATTATATTTAAATCTGCTTACACCCAAAGCAAAGTTTGAATTATTTGAACAGGTAAGAGTAATAAAACTTGAATTTTTTAATTAATTGTTGAGATAGATTTTTAAATTTTAATATATTTATATATATGAAATATTATAAATATTAAAGTTAGGTGCATTTCCTGTTTCAATAATACCAACTAAAATATTTTGAAATTGCTTAAAGTAAAGAATATTGCTTAAATTGTTTATAATATTATTATAATATTATAGATTGAAAAAGACATTGGTGTTACCTCAGAGGAGTTTCCGTCTACTGTACAACAGATGCAAAGGCATATTCATTTAGAACAATTGCGGCGTATTTGTGGTTTTCACCATCCTCCTTTAGTGGACAGAAGTAAACAGGAACAATTAATTAAGCGATTGTCCGATTTATATGAAAAAGGCAATGAATTGTGTCCAATGCAAGATAGATTGCCAACTGATTTCTGTCCAGCGGATCCATATATTCTATTAGCTACACATTTGCTGCATCAATTATGGGTCGACACTAATGATGCATCTTTTCTTTATAAGTAATAATATATTTTTATATATACTATCAAAGTCAATTGTGATATTAATAAGAGATTGCTAATAATATTTTGAAAACATGCACATTTTGAAAACGCTGGACTTGCAGGGCAATGTCGTTATTGGAACACGGTCTTCTGTCGAGTCCTGTAAATTTTCACATCAAAATTTTACTCGTGCGTATTTACTTGGAGGCTGGTCTAGTGGTCGCGGCTGATCATACGTTCGCATTACTCGATGTAAAACACCTTCAACTAGATTCACTGGGTCATCTCTACGCGCCTCTTCTCGCGCCTCTCGGTAACTTGCCTCTGGCCTCAACAACTCTTGATCATACAGCGAAATTTTTCATAGCCAACTATAAGGATGTATGTGTTTTCAAGTATAATAGATTTAAGAAACAATGTACAAGAATCTATTTAAGTCATGGATTACTTTTTCTTTTTTTTTAGAGCGCAGATCACTTAACATTTGCATACAAATACGGGAGTTTTATAAAAATTCAGGAATTTGTGGAGTTGAGAGAACGATTGGATAATTCGTTTCACTTTGCTATGACAACTGTAGATAAGATGCTGCTCGATTTATGTTGGTGCGACAGCACTGCCTCTTTATTTTCTACTTTGAGTAGTATGCATATACAACCTCATCTCGATACGATTAGATGGGCATCTCTACGAGATAATCGCGACTTGGAGGTGAATATATATTTAAGAAACGTAATGTAATTTAAGAAAAATTTAAATTTTACCAACGATAAATTTTATAAATTATGGCATTAAATAGGTTGTTCGTGGATGGGAACCACTTAATCAGAACGAGAAGGATCCAAGAATGCAAGAGGAAACACGTTTATGCATGTTAAGATTGCTTTCAGCAAGAAATGCTATATTACGTATTTTGGCAGCAAGTGCCAAATCATCTTCAATTTTTCTTTCTCAAATATCTGCCGAGCTTAAAGAGTTGGATGAAGAATTTATTCCAAAAATATTACAAAACTTTGACACGGATGGAAAACGAAACAAACCATGCAAAATATTAGTTCCGTTAGACGCTGTAGAAAGATTACGCGAAGCTCATTATTCGGAACAATTAAGGACTATAGCGTGCCTTGCAAATTCGCTTTCTCAGTCTCCTTGTCCGGACTTTGATTGCATACAAATGTTGCGAACGTCTCTTTGCTTACAGACATTACCCATCCCCGAGCGGGATACGCCAGTATCTTTTAAAAATTTCTTACTTAGAGCCTCAACTTGCAGCGAATCTCTAGCGATCATTAGCGCTATATGTAGTGTATGTGCGGTACAATCAGAACCACGTACGTCGCAGAAAAAAAATAAAAAGAAATGTAATAAAAAATCGAATCGAACATGATAAATGAGACTAACGAGACTAAGGTAAATATATTTTCTTTTCTTTAAAGATTAATAATAATAAATTTTAATAATTAAAGTATAATTATTGATATAATCTTACAACATATTATGTATATGGAATTAAATATGGCAATTGTTAATTATTAAAATAATATATATTTATGAAATTTCAATATAATATAATCAATTTTTATAACGATTATTTTTTCTCTTACAGGTTTGGAGGGAAGTAGCTGTGTTACTTTCTGAGCGAATTGAAAATTTAGATGCGGTCCTAACAGAATTTGAAAAATATGAATTACACACAGGTTTGGATGAGAAAGATGATGTATTATGTGTCAATATTACAAAACGCGGGCAAGCGAGTCTCAGGCAAAGTTGCAGATCCCTCAAATCTCGCACTCAGCCTATATTAAGGCTTTTAAGTAATTTAAAGAGCTGAAACTATTTGACAATATTTGTACAAAGAACAATATCCGTCTATTTCGTAATTTTCAAAAATGACTCCGAGAGTTCTGTACATAATTATTAGCCTCCATCAATTATAAATAATGAATGAATCGTTTAATGCTGATTAAAAAAAATACCTGAATCTACCTTTATTTCTGTCTGAAAAGTATTGCGCAATTATTTTGATACACTGTTGTTCAATCAATTTATATAACAATATTATTATTATCTTCAAGTCCTTTAAGATAACAAGTGTATACATTTGTAAAATTTCAAAAAAATCTATAATACTCTTTTAGAGTATATAGAATTTTTATATTTAAACATTTTTAAAGAATTAAATTTAACACATTCACCGAGGCGTAAACGACAAACTTAGTTATCAGTAACATACAATTGTTACAAAATGCACAATATTAACATTTACAAGATTATCATTAAGTTTAATAATAAATAGCGTAACATAGTACATTGTCAAACAAATTAAGTTTTATTTATTAAAATTTTAATAATGATTACATGTGATTATTATGATAAATTTTATGAATATAAAATAAAATCTTGTGAACAAAAAGCTAAAATACGCTTGACGCTTGATGAATGTGTTAAAGTGAGATTTATGTATCTTTAGTTACGTGCCATTTCTTTATTAAAATAAAATAATTTTACTTGTACTTTTTTTACAAAAAACCTATATTCGTTTATAAATCAATATCGAACATTTTAGAGTTTTTTTCTAAATTGTGAATCTATTATATATTTTTTATAAATTGCATCTAGTTTTTTCTGCTTATACATACTAATAAATTATTCAGGAGTAAAGAAATTAGCAATGATTCAAATAATTTGGTGGAATTATAATTAATAAGTGACAAATTGTTTATTAATTTTTTTCGTAATTGCTAACACAACTGCAGAAAATTATATATAATTATTTCAGTTAGAAAAAAATAGATATTCTAAATTCTGCGAAATTTTTTAAAATCATTAAACTTATATGCATATAAAAGTGATTAAGAATCAGTTAATGCTTTTTAATCATTTCATTGATTGAACAGTTACGCACAAAATTCATGGCTACGAGTTTTTAATATTTTGTCAATATTACGATAAAAATAGTTTTATTTACAAAAAATCTATATATATTTATATATATATATATATATATATATTACACTTAACATTACTACATTTTATACACATAGTACTTTGTACAATGATCATTTTTTAAAGAATTATTTAATTGTCACACATGTATATTTATATCTATTGTATTTAGTTAGAAAATAGATTCTGTTATCTGAATAGAGAGGGAGGAAAGTAAAATAACTATAATGTAATTATACATTATGGATATATGAATTTGCAAAAAAAGCAAAATCTAATAAAAAATAAATTCGGATCATTGACGATTCATACTAAATGCATGATAGAAGAGCGCGTCATAGCAATAAATTGTTGGATTGTATTGTCCTTACCACGATTTTAATTACATATACGGTATATACATATAATTTCAACTGCTATTAGTCGTGCAGTAACAATTTCTGTACAACCACGTTACAAAGAAAAAAGAATGTCCGTTCTTTTGGCAAGTAATGAAATATTTGCAACAGTACACACGTCAAAAAATCTGATTACAATCCTAATCTTCCGGGAGTGTTGCGATAGGGAGCGGGAGTACCCGGTTCTCTGATGCCAGGCGTTAATATTTCCTTCTTCCGGACTGACGCCTGTTCGCGTTCGAGTTGCTCCTGGGCGCGCGCCTTCATCTCCTCTTCGGCTTCTTTCATCTGATGTTCCATCTCGTGCAGGTGCTGCATCGCTTGTCGTCGTTTCGCGCGGCCGCTTCTGCCGGTTTCCTTCACGCTGAAGAACATGGGGCCCAACTCGGCTAACCAGTGACCGTCCACCGCGGTGACGCATTGCATGTATTCTTTGGCGGTCATCACAAGCTCGTGGTATACGACGTAATCGGGAGTGAAACCCATGCCGAATAACGCAGAGGTGGGATGAAGGTGACACGGCATCCCGGTACGACAGTTGACGTATTCGCCGATACCCTTCAAACGCGCCGCTTGATGAAAATAGGCGGAGCAGATGCACTTCCGGACGATATCCCAGTCAGTGCCGCAGCTGACGACGTCCATCTTCTGTTGCTTCAGAATCTCCTCGAGCTGCGACCGAACTTCCCGCACCTTGCGCATCGCCTTCGCGTGTATAAAGTGATCATTACACCAGGAAGATGAATAACCATTTGCCTTCCACTGATTGTACACGTTCAAATATGTCAGGTGATCCGATTCAGGTACTTGAAACTTCTCACGCGCCGAGTCCGAATCCTCTTCGCGTCCCTTGGGTCGATAGAAAATCGATGGAACCGACAGCATGGAGACGATAATGAGAATATCCGCGGTGCAGTTGAGTTGCGAGGCGACTATGAGCATCTGACACTGTGGCGGATCCAGAGGAAACTCGGCCATTTGCCGGCCGAGAGCGGTCAGGCGTCCAGTGTGATCGAGCGCACCCAAAATCCACAACTGATACAACGAATTGAGTATATTATCCTGCGGCGGTGGATCCATGAAATGGAACGCCAATAGATCCTGTACTCCCAGAGACTTCAGCAGGAGTACCGTGTTAGCTAAATTCGTACGTTGTATCTCGGGAACACCAGTCAATAATAACTCGTCCAAATATTGCCTTCGCGTATACAATCTGTAGCACTGACCAGGACCTGTACGACCAGCTCTCCCTTGTCGTTGATCAGCGTTGGCTCTCGACACGGGATACACTTGCAGAGCGTCCATACCTATTCGAGGATTGTACACTTTCAGTTTACAGTATCCAGAGTCGACGACGAAAACGATTCCGTCGACCGTCAGCGACGTTTCTGCTATATTAGTCGCCACGACGCATTTGCGAAGACCACCCTCAGACCGTTGGAAGATCTTTGCCTGCAGATCCGAGGGTAATTGGGAATAGATGGGCAGTATGGAAAGAGGCGGCGCGGACTCGATTTCGGCTAAACGTTCCTTCAGAACTTCACAAGTGACTTCGATATCCTCCTGACCAGGCATGAAGACAAGAACGTCGCCGCTCTTGGGCTGCAAATGAATCTGCATGACTTGCTTCACAGCCGCGTCTACGTAATCCTCGACCGGATTCTTCGCGTGCAGCACCTCGACGGGAAACGTGCGTCCAGGTATTTGAAACGTTGCCGCGTTACCGAAGAAGGCGGAGAACTTGCTGCAGTCCATCGTTGCGGAAGTTACGATTAATTTCAGATCATGCCGTCTAGCGACAACCTGTAAGTATTTTTAAAATTAAAAGGGCTGTTTCGGGGAAGAAAATATTTAGATTATTATAATTTACAAGATAAAAGCATTCAAACCTCTCTAAGAAGACCGAATAATACGTCGGTGGAAAGCGACCGTTCGTGAGCTTCGTCCATTATGATGACACTGTACCGATCCAAGTCTCCTTCTCTCAAACTTTCTCTCAGCAAAATACCGTCAGTCATATATTTGATGATCGTCTGCAAAAATAAGATCAATCATGTAATATTACTGGTTACAAACAAACTTAGAAATTTAACATTTTAGGAGATTGTTACTACTGTTATACTTACATCCTTCGATGTGCAGTCTTCAAAACGTATCGCATATCCAACCTTGTCGCCTAGGGCAGTGGCCATTTCGTCGGATACTCTTTTCGCAACAGACATAGCGGCAACTCTTCTTGGTTGAGTACAACCAATTATACCATTGCGACTGTAGCCATCCTCGTGAAGATACTGCGTTAACTGTGTCGTCTTACCGCTGCCTGTTTCACCTACTATTATAACGACGCTATTCTCCCTGATAACGTTCAGCAGTTCTTGACGTACTGCGAATACAGGGAGACTTCTCCTCTGATGCTGAATAGATCTGTGCTTAGCTTCTCCCGTTACCTCTCCTGCTCCTATGTGACGTGCGTATTTCTGTCCAGCTTTAAAATCCGTCTCTTGTCCCGCATGCTCCTTGTCGTCTTTCCGCCGATCGTGTACACCCATAATGTTGCCAATGTGTGTTCCAGCCAATTCCCAATGTTTCTTCTGCGCTCTACGTCTCTCCTTTTGTTCGCGATACGCCTTCACCAGCGCAGAACCTTTTCTTGCTACCAGAGCCATGTCGGAAGTGGGATCACGTACAGGTACGACCGGTTCCGGTTGTTTCGTGAACACGATGCGACCGTCCAGGAATGGCGGGACCACGTTGTGGACTAGCAAGTGAACTCTCGCCTCGCCCTCGTCATCGGGGTCGTCGTCGTGATCCAACGAGCTCACAACTCCCGACGTTAACATGCGATTACGCTCCCACAGCTCGTTATCCTTATTTATTTGTCGCTGTTGCGCCGAAAGGCGCTTCTGTCTCCTGGCTTCCAGTTCCATTTCCTTCTTTCGCGTGTATTCTTCAGACACGTTGGCAAAAGCATTGTTTTCTCCATCGTCCAATGCGTACCACTCTCTATCCAATCTTTGCTGCTCCTCTTCCCACAATTCCTTCTCCTCTCCTTCTATCAGCGGAGTGGCACCAGAATTCTTAAAATCTCTGTTCCAAGGATTGTACTTGTAGGAAGGAGTAAATTCGCTTCTGACGCTATCGCGACCATCTCTATTACCATAAATATTTGGTGTGGGATGATCCCAACTCGATCGTCGTGGTTCTTCATCCTCGTCGTCGTCCCAATTACTTTTGGAAGTGGGATCCTTGGTTCGGAACTTGGGTGTCTGCGGTTCATCTTTGAATCTAAGAGGTGTTTGCCTCGTACTATCTCTACCTCGACTATCCCTGTCCCTGTCTCTTCGTCTATCTCTGTCTCTGTCTCTGTCACGACTTCTGTATGAATTTCTAGAGCTTCTATCATCTGCGTTCAATCTCTGACGCTTGAGTCGTGACTCTAATCTCCGTTGTGCTTCAGTGTTGACACCACCGGTGTGAGTAGGAGTTTCTTCTTCATAGGACCGATATCTCCTGTCCTTTCCCTCCGATTTGTCAGACTTTGAGCTGGTAGGTTCCTGTGACTGTTCTCTTCTCTTTCGCTCTGCAAGTTTCTCGAGGCCTAGCAGAGAAGGCTTCTTAAAAGTATGATCAGAAGCTTTCTTACGGATTATCAGACCTCCTGCTTGATTTCCATCACTCCCGTCTAATCTGTACAAGCTTGAGTCATCCGACATCCTTTATTAAATATATTTAACTAAACTTTAGTTTTTAGAATATTACTGTCTCCTGAAATAAATATTATCATTAAATCATGTCAAATAATTAGAGCTATGCTTAAAGAATATAGAATATATTTCTAGAAAGTTACGAAATTAAGATTATAAAATAAATACATTTTTTAAAATCTATAAAAATTTAATATACTTAATTGTAAGAAATTAATGCTTCAAAAAAATCATAACTAACCTAAAGAATTTTTATATAAATAAAAGATGTTTTCACAAGATCAACAATTGCCAGAAAAATAATGGCATTATTTTACAAAATTGTCACAAAGCAATTAATTAAAATACACTAAATATTTTGCAAAGCTAAAAATAGCATTTATATAATATAATTTCAAGAAATAGTCTGAAAATTGTGTTCTTTCACAACAAAATAACCTACAAACAATACGCATTCAGAACTGAACCGTCTGAACCAGTCAACTACAGAATAACCATGGAAAAAGAAATAATTGAACGACGAGAAACTATGGTTCGTATTCAGATCACATCGAGGCTGGACAAAAAAACCATAATCGACCAATCCGGTCGCGACTTGAAGACGAATAATTTCACTCTATAGACTTTCATATAATTTTTCTCCTATATGACCGTAAAAACTCGAAACGCGCATGCGCAAACCCGCGCTTTCTTTCGCGCCGTGACGACCGAGTTCAAAGCGCGACGACGAGTTTTCCTCTCCGTTTTTGTCTTATATTTGCTTTGAAAGTGATTCGTGAGTGCGGATGAACGTCGTATTATATACCGGACACGCTCGTGTAATCGTTCCGGGCCGCATTATCGCGACTGATCGTTAAACGGGCTGGGAATCGGCGCAGACAGAGAAGAAGGACGCAACGCGCATGCGCGAGCATTACATCGCGCAGCCTCGGAGCTCGGAGTCGTCAGGTGAATCGCGCCGCGTCTCGATCGCGTAAAAAGTGGATCGTTCGCGCGGATAAACGTGAAAAATCGATATCAGACTCGTCACATCGGGTTAATCAATCGCGGTTCTCATCTGTCATCAATATATATCGTTCATAGTTGCGTATTATTGTTGCCTCGCGTTTGTGCCGGTGTTGGCGAGAGAGAGAGAGAGAGAGAGAGGGACGATCGAGAAGTCATTGAGATGCTTCCTCAATGATTTATGGAGGGATATACTCGATATGAGAATTTGTATTCGTTTACACTTGTCTTTTGGCGTCCTGTCATTTTACGAGCGAAGTGAATAATTCTCTTTATTGAATGCATATATCTCGAAATTATAATGTATCTCGAGTGCCTTCCCGGAATCATTCAATATGGCGTTTCGATTGTTTGTTGATCGTGTTATCGTGAATCGGGTATCGGGAGTGGCGCGAATCGGGAGTGAAATCGGCGACACTTGATTATTGCTACAATTAATTGGTATGTAATTTTTATTTTATTTCTCTCTGAAATGTATTGTTATCGTGCGCGTATGTAGCCTACACATACACATACATACACATATATGCATACATATATAGTACAATGCAAGTATAAGCAGAGGTCGTTGTGTGTGCTGTTTTATCGCGCGTTATTAAAGCCCGATATTACATTATTTCTTGCATTCTTTAATCATTTAGAAAGATATGTATATATTGGTGCCACATAATTATTTTCTTTTTTCTCTCTTTCTGTCTTTCTCCCTCCACCCTCTCTCTTTCATCCGAATATATATATATATATATATATAATCTCGATTATATAATTATTTAAATAAAATTTAAGTTTAAAAACAAGCATTCTGGCCATTTTATCTATAATTATACTTTATATTAATTGTTATTGTCCCATTATAAAAATTAGAATTAATTAAATACATGCCAAAATTAATATATCATGTTTTGTTGATGGGTCGATTTATTCATTTTAACCAGTCACCTCTGTAAATGGACTTCTACAACGATTTTTAATCGTTAAATCGTTTTTTACAACTTCTTGATGACCTTTCAATTTTCCTGAAGATATGTTAAGACTCTCTTTATTTTCATTGCATAATTCTTTATTCACTTTCTTTGCCGATTTTGTATTGTTTTTATTATAATTTCTCCAGCAACGTTCGAAACTCACAAAAACATCTTTCCATATACATAGTTCTTCCACTAAAAAATATAAAATTCAATTATAATTATGAGATACAAATTATAATTATTCGATTTGTGCATTGCAAGTTTAAATTAGTAAATTATTTTTTAAATTTAATAATGTAATAAAAAATTTTAAACAAATTTTTTTAATTTAATAATATAATAGAAAAAATTTGTACTGTCACAACAAATGCAAATATTTTAGAATGTGATATTTTGCATAAATTTCTTGCTTACATGATGTTATTTAAAAATGTACATAGTAAAATTTATATTCTCAAAAAAAATTAAATAGGCTTTTAAAAAATTTTTCGCTATTACAAATTATTATTACTATAAATTTGAATTAAATATTTTTTTGCCGTATTTATCAGTAGTTTTTTGATATCAATATTGCATATTTTTCAATATATTTTTACCATATAAAAGCAGTGTTATAAATATAAACAATCCTGCTGGTATGCTTGCATTAGGTAATACGTTGTACGCTAATCCGAAAAGAGCTGGTCCTTCGTAAAGAGCTATTCCTTCGATAGTATTGACGAGCCATGGCAAATATAAATACGGGATTCCATAGATATCGCCGATTGTTAGCATAATTGTTGATACCAATGCTGCAAGCATGTCGACCACCATTATCTTAATTCTCAAATCTGTGTTAAATCAGGAAATCATTTTCTATACACCATCATTACATTTTCTCTTATTCTCGTCTCCCAGCTCTCAATTAATCATATAAAGTAAAGGTTTATTTACTGTAATTTCGGCGTAATAAATTGTTAAAGACTGCGGGTCTCGAAATAGAACGGAATGAACCGTATGAACCAACTTCCAAAGCGATCGAGCTTAAACAATTAGTTGCAAAACACATTATGCCTAAGTATAATGTCTTGGTCTGGAACAAGTACAAAAAATAATAAGTAATCGAGTCAATCAATTGTTAAAGTTTCAAAGATGTATAAATTAATTTTTGTAGTAATAATCAAAATATATTCTAACACAAGAGAAAAAGAGACAGAAATAGCAATTATAAAAAATAAAAAGAAAAATAATGGTTTACGTCTAAATTGAGAAAATTGAGTATGAGGACTTGCTTTAATTAAATCGATACTTTTTTAATTAAATCAATCAAACCTTTTTACCTTGGAATTTTTTACGTTATGGTCGCTATCCTTTATTTTTGTGTCTGAACTCGACATTCCCGTGTCGAGAATCATGATCAATGTGAATTTTCTCTGTTAATTTTTTCTAAAAATATTTTCTTAATTAATATTTTATTAACTGCTTAACATCGGCTATGATTGGTTATAAATACGTGTGTCATCCATAATTTGTCTGAAAATTTAATAGTGCAAATAAAAGACGGAGCAAGTGATAATTATCCAACTTCAAAGCGACTTAATTTATTTTTCTTTTTTTTCTTTTCATGTATATTTTTTGGTAAATTATTTATTAGATATATGTAATTATAAAATATATATTTTTTGTTTATGCAAAAAAATACTATCGAATATAAATTAATTACGTATAAATATTTACTATATTTTGTTCATTTGCAAGTTTTGACTTTATTTATTGCATTTTTTAAAAATAATTTTTAAAAATAATTTTTAAAAATAATGTTTTATCGATATTTTGATTTATTTGATATATCTAACATGATATTTGCAAGATAGAACACATAATTATTCTTTTGCATGTACGCACACAAGTACGTAGTGTCTAATAATATCCTCATAGTTATAAATATGACCTTCTCTCTCACCTTCTCAAAATCTCTGTAATGTCATTGTAGAAGAGACGATTGGCATCGTGTGCGGCCCGAAGATCCGCTCATTGTTTGTCTAATGCATATTGACTATTAACAGCAAATCCGTTTGCCTTATAGGTCAAGTCGCTGCTACGTCACGTCCTTATTTGTTAAGCAGTCTCATCCCTCCTGATCATCTTCGGCTACCATCCATATTCGGTGGTCTCATCCACAGACAATGCCAGTCGCATTCATAAAAGCGTCTACCTGTTTGGTGAGTAAAACGCATTAAATACCTTGACATTAAGCGAGAGGACACTGTCTCGAATTTCAGCATATAAAGCTCTGCGATAGAGTATATATAGATAGTGCTGAGCTCATTTATGTCATGGAACTTTGTTTATCAAAACATCGTATAAACTATTCGAATTTGCATTAGGGAGATTAAATCTTGTTCATATAATTGCTATATCAGCGAAACTATTAGTGTTAAATTGAAAAATTTCTCTTTCTAAAGTTAGTTATCAGCTGATTTCTCTCTATGTCAAAAAATGTGAAAATATGAATCGAAAATAAAATATTATTTACAACATATATTATTATTTTAATTTTTATAACATATTATTATTTTAAAATTTAATTAATAAATTATCGCTTTAATCAGCTGATTTCTGTCAAAAATATAATACTTTAAATTTGATTATTTATATTTTTGACAGTTATCAGCTGATTTCTGTCAAGAAATATTAATCGGGGGATAAGATATTATAACATATTATTTAAAATATATTACTATTAAATTTTTTAATATATTATTTTAATAGCAAATTAACGTTTTATTAATACTATTAATTTTATTAGCAAATTAACGTTTTATTAATAACTTTTTGACAAAAATCAGCTAACTAAAGTGTTAATTTGCTAATTAAAATTTAAAATAATAATATTTAAAATAAAAATAATATTTATTCTTTAATGTGTGTGTATGGGCTAATTTTACAAAGAATATTGTTTAAAAATAACGATATAATTAATAGTAATTAGTTAATAATAATAGATCGATAGTTATTAATAATAATAGATAGATAGTTAATAATAATAATTAGATAATAATTGATCAATTTGATTTATTTCAGGTGCCGAGCGAATAGTTTCCGTATTTTCCGTTAAAATAATAATAAAATGTGCGTTTCATACAAGTAATTTACGTCGGGAGTGCCGTACAAAGTGCCATGCGATTCGTTAATTTTTATAATTAACCGTGTTTTCGCGAGTGTCATGTGAGTGCTATAAGCAGCAAAGGAAAAACGACCAACAATAAGAGAGGAGGAGGAGGCCCGGGGAGGCATCGGGCAATAGTGGAACAACCGTGAGGTGAGTAAATTTTAATTATTTAATACTTGACCATTACATATAAATTTTTAATTTTTATGTATATTATAATAGTTAAAAAAAAATTCTTTTAAAATATTTTTGTTTAACATTTTCTTTGTAATATTTATTTTAGTAAATAAAGATGAAATTATTAAAAAATAGTCAAGAAATTGAATAAAAAGTTTAATTAATATTTAACGCAATTATTATTTTTACAAATATTAATTATTTTAGACGTTAATTTATAATTTGTTAATGTTTATATTTTGCAGATCAACATGTGTTCTACAACTTCGTTTTGGCGCCTCGTACTGGTGAGTCTTAATTTATTTTTAATAGACTGAAGATTCTTTCTCTCTTTTCTTACGCATTATTATATTTCATATTTCTGAAGGTTTTCTCATTAAATATATAAAGATAGGCAAAAATTATATACATTATTCCAATAGTGAAAGTACATAATATTAAAAAAAGAATTTATTTTGATATCTGTTCATTTATTTTGATTCTAGATTTACAGAATATTAATTTTTTAAATATATCAAAGAGAGTAAGACAATGCCTGGATAAAATATATTTACTATTTATTGAAATGAGAATCTCGTAAAAAGACGATCAATTACATCATCTTTTTAATCATGTTCCAATCTTATCGATCACGATATGATTTTATTTTATCCGCGATATATTTCTCTCTCTTTCTCCTTCCCAAAATAATTCAAGGTTAAACTCTGAGAAATCGCGACCGAAAGCGGGCGCGTTCGGGAAGAACCTAGGGCGTGCCTAGGAGATTACGATCGATCTGCTCTTTAAATTCCTCGCGAGAGCTGCCCTCGATACCGCCGGCGCGCAGATTCCCGTCTGCAGACATCCCGGTCGGTCGTTTCGGCATCACGAGCCTAAGCGGACGATGCTTGTATACCGCGCTGCGTACACGCACAGCCTACGACACGCGAGGACGTGTACGGGGACACGACGAGTACGTGTCCTGCGAGTGAGAGGCGATCGAGGGATAGATGCAGAGCCGTGGTCTCTCTGCTTCCGCATGGACGGACAATCGCCTTTTGACGTGTACAGCGATGTGGCTAGCCACTTTCGCACCCACTTCTCTCTTTTCAATTTTAACACAAATTTTCCGTAAAAATATACTCTGAAAATAATATCATACAATAATTTCACATTTTTTAAATATAAAAATAATAACAATAAATTAGTTTTTTTTTTCTAATATTTTTCTATTATTATATATATTTATTTTACTATTAGTATATATATTTTTTGTCTCATTATTTTTATAACATTTATATTTATATATTATAATATATATAATATACAATACATATTTTAATTCTAAAATATTATACACATAATAATATTTTTAATATTTATAATATATAATATTTATATTATTTTTATATTATTATATTATTAATTTTCACGTGTAGTAGGTTTGTGACGAAAAATAATATAATTTTATCGGGACTTTCCTCCGTTTATTCATCGCGCAGCTACGGTATTATACATACGCATACGCGATACGCGAGTGCGTGTGTGTCGTCCATCGAAGAAAGCTTCTCCGCGCTTGAGTAACGCTACGGGACTCTCGTGAGTCTCTCTCCTCTCGGCTCTGGATGACCGCGGCCGATCGTCGCTCGCATGAGCATTCGGATCACGCTGCCGGAGCGAGCACGTAACAATTTCTGTTCTTGGGACTGGAGCCACCACTGGATCGTCGATCCTTTCGTTCCTCACTTCGACTTTGCGCCGCGCATTCGCGCCGAAACGATTCAGTCTTCTCGGCTCTTAAGCACGCACAAAATTAGATAAAAGTATACTACATGTAGGTGTTTTAAAAGGTTTGAATTATCATACTATGTTCTGTAAGAGATTTAGTCTTCAATGTAACATTTATATGCCATCTCTATTTTTCTCTAGCTTTTTCGAGATATATATCTATGTAAAATTGTAGGTCTTCTGTATTATGACAGATTTATATTTACCCTTTGCTATATATTAGCATATGTATATACTAGACTTTTGCTTTCAAAGAAGTAGTAAAAATATACTAGTTGCTCAAACATTAGAAAATATTTGAAATCTGTCAAAAAAATTCATAAACAAAAAACATCGCGGATTTTTAAAATTCTTTAACAAAGTCATAAATATTATTCTCTCTTTTAAATTCGCTTGGCCTGTTTATAAGCCCTTGTCATTGATTTATTATCATTTTTTTTTTACGGACAGTACGTTTCATGTGAAACTGTCAGAGACAAATTTTTCGAAGTCGCGTACGTCGCTGTTTTCTTTTTAAAAGTGTGTCCACGGATTATTTAGGCCCAAAGTGTCGATTTTTACGGTTTCGACGCGTTTCACATTTCTCGATCGAGGATGACGACGTTTCGACATTCGGACTGCCGGTTGTGATCATGGTGCAAGATTTAAGTCTTGATTCAGCGAGGGGGGACCGATTGATAGGCGCATCAGGCACACGCTGAATTCTTATGCTAATGCGAGAAAGGAGCCGAGAAGACAATACATCCACGCGCGAACCCACGGGGCATCTGTATACACCCTGCGTCCCGTATTCTGTATTCTGTCAAGTGAATTAATACAATCACGAGGACCGCCGGGTGATTTTAGATGCGGTGAGATCGTGATCGCCACCCGGTACCTTATTGAGCTTTCTCGTTTATAACTCTTACATCTCTTGTAGTATTATAGGTCCAGAATTACTCCTATCTAAAGAGAAAGAGAGAGAAAATAGTGTACGATAAAGTGACATGATTTCGAATGAATATAGAGTGATACGAAATATCTTTAAAAATAAAAATTTTCAATTGTGTACCATAAGCCATAAGCCTTTTTCTATAGATTCATGATGTTAGCTAATCATACAATTTCTACAATAGAGGTCAGGTTCGTAGAAAAGTTGATTCATGCTCTTTCTTACGAAAATCGATTTGATTGAATATTATAGCATGAAGGTGACGTCCTCAATATATTTTTCTTAAATTTAATTAAATTGTTTTAATTAGCTTGAGAAAAGAGAGAACGTATATTTAAGATTTATTTCAATAAAATTCGTTCTGATAAACGGAAGTTTTTCGTGATAATCAAGGGAAATGGTATATGTATATCTTTTGCGGTTCTTTATTTGTAACGTGATGCTGATATACAATACAGAATAGGTCAACCTAAAGACTTGCCGGTGCATTCATTTAAACTAATGCCTGTGCATGAATATGCAAAAAACCGTTGCGTATATATACGTTTCTTTTACGTGATCGATTTATTGAGTCGGATCGCTAAGAAAGTATAAAGCCGTCCCTTGTCTCCTTTCCCCTTCTCTTCGGCGATTTTGCGATGCACGATACACGTGGATCTTACTTCCGGCTAGTACCCGAACATTACGGTATCGATAATTTCCGTCAATCACAGATGGACGGCAAATCTGTAAACTATGATCCGTCAAATTATCTACAATTTCGAAAGTTTTTAATAATTATTTCGAGATAAATTGTTTCTACGCGTGATATCGATATCTTTCTATCTTGAAGAATATACATATATGTGTACAAGAATAAAAATAATCTTGTCAAATTATTGATACTGTAATAAATTATTCATATTGATTGTAACTATTTTTATATACACATGATATTATAGATAGGTATATATTATCTAATTTTGTATAAAAACATTTATTTTTCACGAATACAACTTGAAAAAATTTTAAGGATATCGTATATATATATATATATATATATATATATATATATATATATATATATATATATAAAAAGGTTACTCGGGAGGGAAAATATTTTGGGTGGGAATCAAGAGAGATTGAAAATCTATATAGATTTGAAATTAGTAGATTCATAATGAACTTTAGTCATTCACTGACTTAATTATTTTTTAATCCTTATAGCTCGTGGACCTAGTTATACATTGCATATATAGGGAAAATTAACCGCGATTATCGCTAATTAACGATTGGTGCAATCCGTTCTAAATGAGTACATTTCACTCGAGCGATCGGGAAGTGCTTTTATCGAGAAA